GATTTGGATCAGAGAGAATCAGAAAACACTTGGGTGTGACCGTTACACAGCCACGTGGGGTGACTAATTCACGTGTAAAAAAATGAGTAGCTGATAGGGTAAATCATAGGGTACGGTATAAAATACATACACATGTCATAACATGAGTGTATTGTTGACATGTATATAATTAAAAATTTATTACAGAACATGTTAGCTTCAGGTTGGCTTGGGCCTGGGATACCTCAGACCTAGCCCAACCCAATTTCAGGTCGGAAATTTCTCAACTTTAACCCTAAACCTTGTAAATCCCTAAGCCCAACTTGTCCATTATCAGGGTAGGGTTTGGGTTGAGCTTGGGTCAACTTTCCCAAGTGACAATCTTAATTCTATATCTCACAGAAGTTGTGTTATCACTATATCAGTTCAATTATTTTATTCTCTCTTATTTTCAGTCTTGCGCTTTGTACTACATTACATTCTCGTGGTGCCAATGCATCACATTCTTTTATTTCAAAAAATCTAACTCCAGGAAGAAAAATTTATTGCAACAAATTACCACTTTCTTTTATGTGATATGTGATACAAGTTTATCGCTCATGACTCATGTAGGATGTATCATTCTGCTATCGTGATCATGATTTACCTCAAATGATCAAAATTAGAAATCTAATCTAAAGGAAATAGAAATGAATCTTAACACTTGGGAATCAGGTTGCACTAAGAAAGCCAAGAATCATTTGATCATGTTAAAAAATAAAAACAAAGTGGAATGAGTCTTAATATATTCTGTCCAAAATCCTCTAACGATAAGAATTATAGACCCAATAATATCTAAGTGGCCACCACAAGAGCGAGGAGAGGTTTTGAATCCTACCGCGCAAGGGACGCCCTGTGACCCGGACTTCTAGAGATGAGGTCTTTTCGCAGGCAAAGGTACAATCGGTGAGAAAACATATTAGAATCTAATATTTGATGAGGAACACTGAAAATTCAGTATATCAAGACGGAGAAGTAGCCACAAGTAGAAAATAAAATCTGGAGACGTACTTATTCATGGATAGCTTTTTAAAAGAAAAGGTTCTAGTTTGATCCACTGGCAGACAAAGAATAACATAGACAGAGGAGATGTGTATCAGATTGTGACTCTTCCCGGTTTGTGATGATTAGGTTGGTGTTCTGTGTGCTTGCTGAAGACCTTTAACAAAAGTATGTTTGAAAGGTTTCGGTCTAGTTGGATTCAAATCCCGTTCCCTTGTCGTGAAGCTTCGCTCATGTGTGGCTTGGTCTCAATGAGAAGTAAGGTAAAGTGGTATGATGCAACAAACTTTATCTAGTGCATTACAGCCCATTTTTTGGGAATACCAAACTTCAATTACACTAATGTCGGATCTTGGGTGGTCAGAACTTGGGCACAATTTTCATCCTATGTGAGATTAAATATTCAATCATAGTTCTCTAACCATAGCAAACGTGTTCAATCCACGAAGAAATCATAAAGAAAAAAAAACATCGTCGATTAACGGTTGATCTTAAGATGACTACTACATACCTGATCCTTCAGCATCTGGGCTGCATTCAATTCGTAAGAGGCCTGGGCATCAACACGGGCACGCATAGCTGCTATCTCTTCAGGCGATGCACTAGCCATCTTCTCACCAATCTCAGCCATCTCTTCCGGACGGGTCTGCTTCAACTGCTCTGCAGCCTGTTTCAAGTCTTCAGGCCTCATGTTCTTCATGCCCTCGGAGGCCATCCTCATCAATTCTGGATTAGCCATCATCTGCAATGCAACTCAAACATAAAAATCAACCATTACAAACTAAACCACTAAATAAATACGTTAAAAATTCAACTGAAAACTAAAACCATGAACACAATCACATAAAATTGAAAATTAAACCCTAAGATTGGGAAAATTAACAAATTGAAAAATAGAAAGTCGAAATTGACCTGCTGCTGGATCTTCGCCAACTCGGCGGGTGACATGCGACTCATCTGCTCCTGAGCAAGTCTCATCAACTCAGGATCCATCATATTCATTCCGTTAAACATTTTTCTCTATCTGAATCTCGTTCTCTTTCCTGACAATAAATTAAGGCAAATACGGTTCTGATCCGCGAGAATTTGATGAGCAAATTGGGGAGAATTGGAGAATTTTGTGGAGAAAAAAGTAGGATTTTGGAGAGTGAATTTGGGGAATTCTTGGAATTTTATAGTAAGAGGAAGAGGACAAAATAAGGGTCGTGAAGAAGCAGGTCAGAAGAACTGAGGTCGCCCACCAAACCTGAAAGCTTCAAATTAATAGAGAAAGGTCTTCTTCTTCTTCTTCTATTTCACTACTTGTTTCTTTCTTTCTTCTAAATCTAGTTGGAATTGGAAAACGAAGTCTCAGAAAGAGTTAGAATATTCGCGTGGATGACCACAATTACGTTAGTGCCCCGACTTTTTATGTTATTTTCTCTGTAGACCTCGCTTTAAATCCCTGTTGGTGGTCTTTTTATTCTTTTTATTCTATTGGTCGAATCCCTGCTGGTGGTCTGGTATGCGTCATCTCGCACTTTGAAAAAGTTTGGCGTGATAAGCCTGAGATTTAGGTTTTAAATATGTTTGCATTCAAGGTCGAGTTCTTGTGATTAAATTAATTTAGAATAGATTATCATTTATACATATAGCAAAAGATCAAGAATGGTGAAACATTTAAATTATTAGAAAATATCATTGGTTAATTTAAACATTAAGAATTAAAATTATTAATTAGATGAGAATAATATAGTAAATTCATATTTTTTCATATTAAAAAAAATTAAAATTAAAAAAATAAATCAGATAATAAATCATATTTTTATTAAACACTAGCCCCTCATGTGCCAATTGATTTTCTTTTTTCTTCTTTATTTTATTTTTAGTATTAAGAAAAGATAACATGGGTAGTTATGTTCCTACTTTTATGAAACATAACTACTCATATTATCTTTTTTTAATTCTTAAAATAAAATAAAAATAAAAAAGAAAACCAATTGGCACATGTGTGAGCATGTGCCAAGTAGCTAGTTTGTATAAAATATATGTATATATGGATCCGGAGTGTGTACTTGATTTTGCCACCAACAATCATCCAAAGGCTAATAAGTTGACACATGTATTTAAAAATAAAAATAAAAACTTGAACAAGAAGTTTGTGTTCTCTTCGGCCTTTCTTTCGGATGAAGTTTTCTTCACCTGAGTTTTCAAATTAGGTTCAATTTTTGGATTCTTAGATCAATTTCTTCTTCTTCACTGAGGGCTTTTTAATTCTATCACAGCATAAGCTTTCAATAAAGAATAATAAAATGTGGAGACCAACAAATTCACATGGTTCGGCAGTGTGCCTACTTCGACGAGGCATCATCATAAATTCTTCCATCATATCAAAATGGGTCATGCTAAGGAGACCAACTTTAAATACCAACTTGTGTACCATCTCTCTAATAGAGGTGGAGCCCATCAATATAATCGGTCTCACACTCTATTAGAGAGATGGTACATAAGTTGGTATCTAAAGTTGATCTCTCTAGCATTTTTCTAGCATTTTCTTACCAAGCCAATGTTACACACAAGAGAGCACCTCACTGCACTCTCCCACAATTTCCTTGGAGTGGAACACTTGATTCTTGGATGACTGGATTAGTGAGAACTCTCCTCATTGGATCATTTTGATAAGAGAAACTCTCGATGCTCTAGAGGCACGTTTGAGAAGAAAAACTCTCGATGCTCTCTAGCTTTCAACACTCTTTGCTTTCAATTCTCTTCGTCTCTTAGCATACAATTTCCGCTTACATATCAAATTCCAAACAACATTATCATCTTTTAGGTAAGTCTTATTTGGTCATTTATTTTTGGTTTCTTTTAGTTAAATGATTGTCATAGAAATAACTTGATATGCGTCAAGCAACTTCTGAGTTCTATACATGTGACTCCGTGAGTTGGTCTTTTTGCAATTTAATGTTCAAGCTGAAAAAATAGGAAAAAGAATGAAGAGAAAAAGTCAATTTTCTTTGCACAAATGGCATACAATACAAGTTTAGGAAATCAAATTTCATGTTTGGATAATTATGAAAATGATATAATTATTATAGGAAAAAATGGAGAAAGCCATATGAGAAAAGCGAAGGGTGAGGAATCTAACCCAGAGGAGAAATGGATAAGTGATACGATGCAAAAGATGAGATTTTAATTTAAGATTTCTTAAATTACACCAATGGTAAATGCAGATGTTCCGATTCTATCCATTTTTCATGAGAAATTTACAATAAAACTCATTTCTTGCATTGATTTTATATATAAACACTAAAAGCTATAAATTGAAGATAAAAATACCCAAAAAAATACCAGTTGATGTGTGAAATACCATTATTATCCTTGCATTATAATTTTAGAAGAAAAAACTCTTGTGGTAGTGTTGTAAATGTTTTGTTATAATAATACATATTTTTTTAAAGTACAAGCAATAATCTAAAATACATAAGAATGAGATTTCTCACATACACACATAACTATAATGTCGTGAAGATTCGAACTTGAGACCTCTAGTCTGCAAGTCAAAGCCATTTTCCACTAAGCTAGACTCTTTCGGTATAGTTTTAAGTGAGGAGTCTACTATCTCTTTTACGTCAATAACGGGAAGGAAAGAGAGAAAATTTGAAGATAAGAAACATTAGCATTCCAAACTAGCCTCAACTCTTAAATTAAATTACCTTAACCTACTGCCAATTAGCATGCTCGCAAATATAGATTACAATAAATTTTGCTTCATGGCAAATGGAGTCAGCAGCACGATGAGGAACTTCATACTCCAGACCATCCATATTAATGTACGAGATCCAATTAATTTTGTGACAATGATTTCTATTTAACATGGCAAAAGAAACAAAACAATTATTGATTTAAAGCAGTAAACACTGTTTTGCTAAATCCAAAACAGAAGAGAAAAGTGATTGCTAATTACATGTGTAAACCCAGTTGACAGTTGATTAAGGACTTCAACTGACATTTGAATTTAAATTGCTCTCACCTAACAATGATTTTGCCTCCACAACATATTTCCTAACACTTTGAAGCTCTTCCTCCATCTTTTCTGATAACAAACATGAACCAGACCTTGTGTCCAACAACTGCATTGTCTTCGCAGCGGCTAAAGCCCTTGCCGTGCGCAGCTCTTCCAACATTCTTAACTCAATCTGCAATTCTTCCTCCACAATCTTCGACTCGGCCTCCTTCAAAACCGATTCAAACACATGCTGCTGGTACTCAACAACCAGACTTTCAGCTTCGGCCTTCCCATTATCTTTTACTTCCAACAGCATCTCCTTCTCCTGAATTACATTCTGAAGGGCAAGTTCCATCTCTTCCACAGACTTGACGCCTTTCTGTATCTCCGCCTGAACAGCTAGCATCTCCTTATCTACCTTCCCAGACTTCACGTTCAAATCCTCAAGTTCCTTTCTCATGACTCCAAGTTTTTCTCGAGATGTCTTCATCTCCGCCTGCAGTTTAGTTTTCTCTTCCGCAGACTTCAGTAACTCGGTAGCTTTACCTCCCACCAAATGCCAATTTTTCTGTGAGGGGTCTAACTTCTCAACATTATCTATGGCAAATAGAACCTGTTCATTCTCTTGTTTTCGATTTTCTTCCTCCAGTTTTGACTTCAAGCATGCCAGACTGATCTTTAGTTCTGCTTCAGATCCTTGCATTTCCCTCTGAGCAGCAGCTATTTCATCCTTCTGTGCTTGTAGGCAGCCCAATTGCCCTTTCTTTTGTTCCAGATAAGATGTTGAAGCAGCTACCCTTGCTCTTGCCCGAGCTTCTCGTTGCTCAAAGTAAACTACAGATGAAGAAAAGCTAGATAGGGAGTATTTGAGAGCTGATAACTTTTTGTCAATTCGAGCGATGTTTTCTTTCCCTTTTGAAGTGAGGAGTTCACATGATTCAAAAAGCTGCTGCTTGACCTGAATTTCAGCTTCCATTGCTTCAATTTCTCCTGAGAGTTTGCCAACCTCTAACATTACTTTCTCAAGGGAACCAAATACGGTAACTGTTTTTGCAGAATCTAAAAGTTGTTCATCTGCTGTTTCCAGTTTCTTTCTGACCAAATTTTGCGCTTCTAAAAGCTTTACTGCAGTGAGATCTGATGTCTCCAGTTCCATGTCAGACTGAGTTCCAGCATCAACCTCATTTCCTGAATTTGCTTCAGTATTAACAGTACATAGACCAGCTCTATCAACCAAAATTCTTGAGTCACCACTTTCTTCAGTATCCGGGTTCACTTCATCAGATATATGACTGAGCCCGCCTCGCTTATTTGATCCAGAGAAACCAGATTCCTCCATTGAGACTGCTCCTTGACATAAAGTAGGTATCTCAAACTGACGGCTTTCTCCTCCATCAGAACCAGGAAGACCATTTTCGCCAATACAATTCTTTTCCTCCAGAGACATAGGAGAAGCACCTCCATCAACTTCAACAAGCTTCTCTGGGGAATTAAATTCTCCCTTAACTGTAACACTTTTCTGACCACCGGAAGCAAGCACTCTTTTAAGTTCATCCCTCTCCTGCATGGCGCCTTCATACAAACCCATTAGTTTTTCATTTTCTTCATGCATTTCCACAAGTTGATGCTCTAAATTCTCGACCACTTTATTCATCTCAGCCTCCTTTTCTTTGGAAAGGTCAATAAAACCATCACCATTACTGTGAGTTTCAGTGCCATCATGAGCACACTCAAATTTATTAATATTTCTGTAAGTGCTGTCTGAAGTGGCCCCTTCATATAACTCAATGAGTTTATTGTTATCTTCAATCAAAACCTTGAGCTTCATACGCAGTCCATCATTCTCTTTGGACAGGATTATTGCTGTCTCATGAGCCTCGGCTTCTCTTTCACTTGCAGCAGCAATGGCATCAACCATTGTTTTCAGCTCCATCTGATCATTGAAACTCATAATTGGCACATCAGCCGACAAAGAAGGAAGCTCAAGTTGATGTGTGTCTTCTATCATGGCTCTAGAAGATCTCTCTTCTTCAAGTTTTGTCATCAAATCATTGATATTCCTGCAGAGTTGGTAAGTAAAAATTAAGACTCTTGTTATAAAGTAGAAACCTAAATCTCATTATATCAAATAAAATTAAAAATTAAAAACCATAAGAAATGAAGAGCAAAAATTGTAACCAAACAGAAAAAAATGCACACAATATGAGATCTATACTCCTCAAAAGATGAAGAATAAAACCCTCGGTAGCCCCAGTCCCCTCCAGTTATAAAATATGACAGGCAAATGAATTTAACCATATATATAAATACATCATATCGAACTTCACAGTTCTATTGCGTTGGGATTTTAAAAAATTGAAGATAGCAGTTGAAACCATTGAATGATTACCTTTCCAAAGCTTCTTTCTCTTCAAGGCAGAGGTCTAGTTTCTTCTGGAGTGTGTCCATTTCGGATTGGTTTTGAATGGCCTGTCATGAGCAAGTTAACATCAAATACGAAAACCACTTCTATTGAGGAAAATAAAGCTCCACCAGACGAAAGACTTTTTACATGTTTTACCTGCATACGGAGAAATTCATTCTCCTCCTTAATTGAAGACTGCCAAGGTGATGCTTGTTCCTGTATCACATAGTGATAAGGGGAAAAATGAAATGAGAAAAAGCAACAAACATAAAAGAGACAAGCAGATAGGGTATACACATGGCATAAACTTGAAATCAAACACTTGTAATAATCAATCACTCAAAGCACTTCCAATCTAAAAAATCCGAGAATTGTTGATAACAACCTAGTCCTTAATTTTCCGATAAAAGATAGACCTGAAAATGATGCCTAAGGGCCGTCATATGCAATGACGAAGAAGATGAATCAAATTTAAAATGCACGCCTGAAGCTCAGAAAACATGATCAAAATAATGAATTTTTTAATTAAAAATAATAATTCATGAGTATATGTGTGGTTTAAATTTGATATGCATGTCTCAAGTTTACAAACCACTTGCAGTTTTAAAGCAACACTCGAGTGTGAAAAAATTCCATATGGAATAGTTGTTGATAAAAGATAAGAAAATTATGAAACAAATAGTGAACCTGCAGCTCACCTGATTAGAGATAAGAAAATTATCATCATTCTGAACTTCCATCGGCACATTCGAATTCGAAAGCTCTGATTCATGCATGAGTTTCCAATCAAGAGCGTCTAATAACTGCGTGTCAGTCACAAGAAAAATATTCCGATTAGTAGAAAAGGAAAGAGGAGTAATGGTTAAATTCAAACAATATTGTACTATACTATTTCTTTACCTTGTTTTGTAACGCCATTATCTGTTCATTCATTATCTCTCGTTCACCTTCCTCATAAAAGGACTTCAACCTGTGGTATAAGATGTCAATAAGCAATAGCAATATTAAATTTCAAATTTCCTGTAAATTTTGGAGAGAAACAAAAATATAAATAAATTAAAAACATATAAATCAGTATAGCATTTACATGTGAAAAAAGTTTTTTGTTTTAAAGAAATGGATGATGGAAATGAATGAGGAGTGTTTCTGAAAGTAATGGACCCAGGATTTTGCCTAAGAGGGGAATACAAAAATAAAACACTGCAAACAAGTACAAAATTCTAGACTTTGAACATTAATAACATTGAAGTGAGCAAAAAGTATAAACTATCTTTGCATAATTTACACGATTCTCTCAAAAGATATTGTTACAAAGAAAGAGCTTGAACTAAAGTAAGCAAAAATGCCAATAAGAAGACAAATTTTGTTTTTATGATTTCATCAATTTGTTTTATTAGTATACTATTTTTTAATAGTTGGCCACTCCATGCCATTTGTATTCTTTAATTGAAGTTGGTCACAAACTCATAGTCAGAGACGATGAAAGTGTCGATATATATGAAGGAAACAGATGACAAGTGAGGGTGACGGCCCCTTGAAAACAGTGTACCATTATTATTCCTCAACCGTATGACTTTCACTAGCTGAAAGAATTCTGTTTGTGATAAAAGAGGACTCAACTAGCATAAGAACAATACATACCTTCTTATTTCCTCTTTCAGCCGCAAATTTTCCATAGCAAACCTAGTTACTTCTTGGTTACGATCAACCTGGGCACGTAGGACCTCAATTTCCTTTAAATGTTCCTCCTTTTCCTTTAGTAAGTGGGTTTCAGCTGAGATCTTTCCACAGGCAACCGCTTCCAACCTTTTTATTCCAGCTTCTCGAAATCGTAGTCTCATCTTCAGGCCTTGTATTTCATCCTCTCTTTGTTTGGCCTAGTTCACCGCAAAGATTTATGTCCAAAAATAATTTTCAAATAATTTAATAACTGAAGAAAATTAAAATTGATTTAAATGTCCAAAACTAAACAAATCTTATAACAAAATGGCATGACTATACAAGCCATATCCAAAATAAGTTTTTGACGTGGAATTTTTTGTCAAATAACCAAGGAAATCTGCAAGACATACTCTGAATGTAGGACTAATCAATCATTAAAAGATAACAAGAAAGACAATATTTGATACATACCAGCTGCAAAGCTGCCTGGCTTTCAGCAGCCAATGTCTGCAATGCAATGTCTTTGTCCTTTTCCCTCCTGAAAGCCCCAACAAGGGCAACTTCATATTCTTTTTTCTGAGATAGCAATAAATTTAATTACTAACCAGAAATTTCAGAACAACATTGATGCAGAATAAATTAGGGCTATTTTCGTAGTAGGAGTTGGAGTAGACCATAAATAATTTTGACTTAACAAGTAGGAAAGAATGGTGCATAGCATACCTGAGATGTCCTCTTGCTGGAAGTAAATGGACTAAATGATCCATTAGGTCCATCCCACTTGAAAGATCCTGGAGATCCTGGAAAGCTTACAGCTAATGTATCATTGTCCTGATTTCCAGTTCCTCCATTGACTAGTCCTCGTAAGTGGGATACTTCTTTCTGAAAATAAATGAACGATATACATAAGACAGAATATAAGTCACTAGAAAGCTATAAAATGTTCACTGTTTAGACTTAGAAAGTGCTCATCTAGTAGATGACATTAAATCAGTCACAATTACCGTATGAAGCAACAGAGAAAGGGTACAAATTAGTTTGTCTAAGCCGAACCTAAAAAGTGGAATCCCTGGGGTGTATCTACAGTCAATTTTTTCATTACCTTATTCAAAATCAGCATTCACTATAAACTCAACAAAAAGTACCTTGGTAGTAAAATAACAAATGCGGATAGTAGAAGTCAGTATAAGTTCGTAGTAATTAGACCACGTTTCTCAGTAGTTTTATGCTGACTTCTAACATGGTGTTTGTCAAGAAATCTATAATGACTATATCAGGGCATAATCTTCCCAGAAAGATTTTTTGGTGAGAAAGGGGTTGAACTGGCCTTGGGGTAAATGCTCACCACCATTAAATCTACAAGTCCTGACATAATCTTCCGAGAAAGATAAAGATACCCAATCTATAAGACAAAAAATACCGTGAGTGTGACCACAAACACAGAGAAAATCATGTACCTTGAGTTGTTGAATTTGCACCCTCATGGCAATGACATCTCCAGATGCATCCTCATTCACAATTGCCTGAGAACATATAAATGATATAAGCATTTTCTATCCTACTACTAGAAACAAAGGTATTACCAGAAAAGTTCAAACGTCAAAATCAGCCCTCCAGTACCATAGTAACTCAGTCCATTTTAACTTTTGATAGAATAAAATGAATGCAAGAATAATATAAAAAGAAGACATGTTTTTGGGTCATCTAACTTTTTATGTAGTATCATTTTTTTCATCTGACAAAGCAACAAAACCCATACAAATAAATGTGCATGCAAAAAAAGGAAGAAAAAATTGGTATACATTGTTCTTAATGAATTTAGCACGCTGTGCAAACTTCAAAGTGCTCAATGTCTCCAACGAACAACTGCAAAATCCCACATAAAATGTTAAAAAGCTACGTAATCAAGCTTGTCATACATTATATAGAAGACAATATATGAAAAAGAAAACTAACTATAAACTTTATAATTTCAGGTACAACAATAGGCACTCTACAAAATGAAATTAGAACATAAAACTTGATAGCTTAGAATGCAATGACCTCTAGGCACTGTAAAACATAGTTAACATGGGAACAGTAATACATAGTTGGCATAGATACTATAAACAAAAAGCAGAAGTAGAACATAAAAGGAAGATGTGTAAGAAAGAGAGATTTACTGACCAGCTAGAAGGACTAACATTTGCTATTATAATTGTCTTCGAATTCCCTCCTAGAGAATCCTGAAAAGGACACATTATCAGGATTACACAAGAGATTCAGAATTTCCAAATAATCAAAATTTTGTACTGGAACCACAGAAATCAAGAAACTAAAAAACAGGGAGTGATTCTACTGAATATTAATTCCTGCAAGAGAACACTTTCAGATAGATGTAGAACTACTTCAGGAACTGCAAGGGCGATGATAGGATATAACTTTTTAACAGAACTCTTCGAAGCCTCAAACAACGAGGCTTACAAAGTCCAAATTCGTAGCCCACAAAGAAATGAGGTTATCAAACATCTTGCAATAGATAACAATCTCACATCCATGCACTGATTCTTCACTTTACTATATGCAGCACTAATTATATATCATCCACAAATAAGAAGTAACTGTATTTGATAGCATTCCAGATTAGATCAAAAACTACCTGAAGCAAAAATGTAAGCTTTGAATCCCGGTATGGAACGTGGAGTGACTTCCCATTGGAAATATTTACCAGATTCATAATCACAAGTCTGCAAATAAAAAAATCATTTCCACAAATGAATGGTTGAATAATCTACCAAATTGAACATCAATGAGAAAAAAAAATTCCCAAGAAATCTTTTTACACTGAAAAATCTAAAGATAATGGCTAGAAAAAACATACCCCAATGTTGAAAGAGACTTGTTAATGTTAGTAGCTTCCTTCAGACGCTCACCTTCAGCTCCAGAACTCTTCTGCCTGCCATTAACACACAGACAATATCAATTAAACAGAAACTGAATTCACTGACGGCAATGGGAGAAAATATAGTAATGATAATTATTTCCTGTTTGCGTACTAGAAGCAATGCATAGGTGAGGCTTACTTTCCCTAAGATCCAGTCTTTATCTCTCAAAAAGTGCAAAGTACTGAGTGGGAACTACCCTCTTATAGCATAAATTACGAGAAGCCCCATATTTTACATCATATCTCTTCCTTTCCCTTGTTGCACTAAACATATAGAGGCAGGTTGAACACACCATTATCTTCCTTCAATATTCTACCCACCCCTTCCTTATAAATAATTTAAAATTCACATGCTCTTCTTTACATCACTTTACCTTTCAGATCCTGCCAAGTCAACGAGATTAAGCCGAGCAAATCGATGGTGAGTTACTCCTTGGCATTCCCTCTGAGAAGAAATGAATTATCAATTAGAAGTTCAAACTAACCCACCCTAGGGAGGGAAAGAAGAAAAGGCAAGATTGTTCAATTTTTGAATAGAAATGAGAAAAAAAAAACTCACTTTACTTTCAATGATGCATGTAAATACACTATGAGAGCGACTGCTAGCACGATTCATATTAGTAGCAGCTACCTTTCTATTTGCTGCACCCTGGAACAAAAAAAAGTGTAGTAAGTAATGCAAATTCCATTTACACTAAAGCAATTATAAAATTCATTCACAGCAGAAAATAAATTTGCTACAAAGTCAGCAGTAAATGAAACAAACTATTCTATCAGTTGAAAGACAACGTTTGAAAACAGTACTATACTAATTCAAATGTTTGAAGTTGAAATGATAAAGAGCATATGAGTAGAGGTCTTATATACTTGAATAAGTTGTTGCATAACATCTCGAGCACTTGTAACTTCAACCTCCTTGAGATTTTCCACATAAACACCTTTCTTTATGTCTTCTCTTATCTGTAATTTTCTCACAATTTTCACAACAAACTCGTTAGTTTATTTGAAATGACAACAAGAGATTCAAATTATTTTCGGTAGGTTTATCTGAGTAACCAGAACTAAAATGAGAAATAGTATAAATAAAACTCTCAACAGTAGGTGATCCATACCTGCAAGTTGTTAGATGAAGGGTCCAAAAGGTCTAGAATTTGTTCATTGTATATTTCTAAAAATGAACATTTACATACAAACTTTAATTTTTCATCTCGACCAGCCTCTTTTTCCTGAAACAACACAATCAACAAAGTGTGCATTAGCAGCTTGCAGAAAATATTAAACATAGATAAAAATTTATGTGGAATTCAGATTCAAATTTCAGCTTTGAATAGAACTAAATGGTGGAAAGTGATTCATGTAGGCAACCTTAATACTTGCAATTATGCCTCAATACATGCAGCACACACCTTTTGAATTCTTGAGAACAGATATTCGAAGACTCTAGGTGTCATCCCACAATTGACACTGTGCCTTCGAGTTCCTCCCTCAATATCTCCAAGCATTGTGTGGGTCTTCCCACTTCCAGTCTGCACAGAAACAATCAAGTCAAAAGAAAGCAACCAAAAGAAATTTAATTCATTCAAACATTTGCTTTCCTAGTTTTTGGAGACTCACTTGGCCATATGCAAACATGCAACTGTTGTAACCTATCATGCAATTGTCCACCATCGCCAATCCCGCCACTTTGAACAATTGTTCCTGTACATGAAAAAACTCAAATGAAACCCATGCCAACCAAAAGAAAGCAAAAACAAAGCGACAAAAATGAAACACAACCAAGTAAGGCAACTGACCTGGCTAACATTCTCATCTGCAACAATGTCAAAAGTGAACCGTGACTCGGGATGCCCGGTCCAAGTAATTGTCTGACAGCTCTCTTGACGAATGCATTTGCCATAGCCTTGCACTGATATTTCAGCGCTACTAAGGGGACGAATCCGAATGATAACCTGACCATAATTTCAACATATAACAAAACAAATTGATTCCAACGGCTTTGATTTTAAAAGCAAAAGCTAAAAACAGCACTTCCTAGACACTAATCTGAAAACCTAACAAAGCAGAACAATTAGGAACCTCACAAATACACCAAATTCAATATAAATCTAACTCAGACAAAGCAAATTAACACTTTAAGCACAAATGTAGTCTGCCTTTGAAAGCAATAAAAGTAACTTTAAAAACTCAGCAGAATCAACGATTCGTTGAAGTACCTGCACGTTGTGGTCTTTCCAGAAGGAGGGATCTTCCCGGAACTCGAAGCTCTGATTGGACGACGCCGTACTGGTGCTGACTTTCCCGTCATCGTCTTCGTCGTCGTTCCAGTCGCGGATGCTCCGAACCGCTGAGACAGCCTCTTTGGCCGCCGATTTGGGAAGACCCGGAGTGCTCCGGACCGGGTCCGAGGAGTGGTCATGGAACCCGAACCGGCTCTTGATGGCGCTCGCGGTGTCGGATATGAAAGGCATTTCGTGTTGGAGCGAAGTGAGTGGTTTTGGTGAGGGAGTGGAGACGGAGATGGTGGTGGAAACCAGCGCAAGCAAGATGACGATGAGATTGGAGAAATGTAGAGGCCGATTTGGGGGGTAAAGTGAATTTGAATTTGGGAGAGAAAGGGGGGAAGGGAAATATGTTATCGGACGGTGGATACTGGTTTGGATTAACGGTTAAGATGACTCCAATTTAAACTATTGGACCGTTATGACCGAAAAAAAAACTATTGGACCGTTTGGATTCAAATCTTTTGTGCAACAGCTTTTTTTTTTCCTTCTAATTTGTGTTTTTTTTTAATGGGATGTCAACTTTCCCATCCTATTTTCTTTTGAGTGCTGCTAAACAAACACTAAAATTAATTGAGTACACCTTACTACCAAAGTAGTTATTTGATTACTAATTTACCTTAATATAAAATACAAATTTATAAATAAACCCAATCCTAGACATGTATTTATAAAAAAAACTCAAACACTATTTAAACATAGAAACACACCCAAAATCAACCCCAAAATCAACAATTGTATATTTTTTGGGTGTGTTTATAAATGAGTTTTGAGTATGTGTAATGATGGGTTTTGGGTGTGTTTATAAAGTGTTTTGGGTGTTGGGTTTTTTTATAATTTCAACCCCCATTTTGGGTGTTTTAGTGAAACTCCCTAATATAAAATGACCAAAAATGATGTATTGAATTGTGAAACAAATATAGTTTTAATAAATACAACCTACTTACTATATTCAACCCTAATTAAACATAGAGAAGTTTTCGTATTGCTTGGTGCCCAAGGCGAAATCTTATTTCTTTATAGGAGAGAGAATTGCTAATAAAATCAAGGTGTACACATGGAACAATATTCGGGAGATTTTTAATTCAAATCTAAAATGAAATATAGATAACAGTCTTTCCATGAAGATGGAATGCCATTAATATAAGTTGATAGAATCAGTTTCTCATGCTCCTTTGGGCCCCAATAGCAGCTGAGCAGAGAAACTAGATTCGAATGTTTGATGTTTCCTAGTTTCTTTACTTCTCCTGCATATTCTTTCCTTCCTTTTGCTATACCCTCCCTTAGCCATTTCACAGCCAATACATGACCTGAGTCAAGCATAGCTTTGTACTTTGTTCCATGACAACTCCTTCCAATCCAATAGTTTCTACAGGAGCACATGCAAGTTCTTCTGTTGTAACCAAGGAGCCATCAAACAGATTTTGAGACACCAGTCAATTTATCTGGAGAACAAGTTTTGAGAACATTAGGACTCTAAGTGGTTGTTGATTTTTAGAAGGTGATAGATTTGAGATTGGTATTAGGGTGTTATGTGATATAGTGTATTAGGGTGTACTAAGGATATTTTCGGTAGTTAAATAGGGTGTGTACTTAGTTAATTTTACATTTTGATTAAAATATTAGGGTGTACTTACTCAATTAATTTTAGGGTTCGTTAGTAACACTCTTTTCTTTTTAGTTAGTGAATAACAAGTTTTTTGTTGTGAGCCATACTCATAACTGAGTTATCCATCATCTATTTTTGGCTAATTCATCGATCCAAAAATTCTCCCAAAACTAATCCTTAATTTTTTTTTCTTCTAATTTTAGTCATACCTCGCATTTGAAGGATTTTATTGTCATGACCAATTGTATTTTGTCATTGTTGTCAAATTGGAACATTTGTTTGCTATATGCACAGTTGGATAGAAAGAGACCGAGTATTCTCTAAATTTGTGCCATGTTTTATAATTTATTCTTAGATAGATATATTGGATTTGATAGTGGTGTTACTTCATCTGGTGTATTCTCCAAATTTGTGCCATGTTCTATAATTTATTCTTAGATAGATACGGTGGGTTTGATAGTAGTGTTACTTTATCTGGTGATAGTAGGTGCTCCTTCATGCTTAAATTTAGTGATGTAGACTGTGTAGTTGTTAGTGGACTAAGGTCTAAAATATCAGGAGTTTCGGAAATATTGGTGGTCCAAAAACACGGAAATTTTGATGAAAATATCGGAAAAATATCGATATTCGTAAAAATTGTATAAAAGTGAAGGAAATTGCGAGAAAAACTTGGAAATTTTTATTGAAACTTTAGATAATGTTTATTTAATTGAAATTTTCTACAATTTTATCAAGAACAAAAAATTGGAAGGAAATGTATTGCATTGTGGGTTTGAGTGATTTAAGTTGATTATATAGCGAGTTGCCAAACACCATGAGTTTAGAAAATATGTAGTAAGTAATGAATTAAACACACTATAATAATTTATTTATGGAAATTTAGTACCACAATATTTGCAAATCATGTCATGTTTGTTTCCATGTAATGGGTCTCAATGTTCCCAAATAGGCCCACGTCTATTGCCTCCACTAGACATCTAAAAGTTCCTATATTAATTTGTTATGGAAATTAATTATGTACCCTTTCTTTTCTTTTCTTTTTTGGCTAAACGATGGTTAAATTTCATTAGAATAATGTTATTCTTACCACATTTGTATACCACATCTTTATACTATCTTATGTGACAGCTGAAGTGGACAGCTACATCAATTAAAATTATTTAATATTTTCTTTTCTTTTATGATTTATTCCAGTATTTGTTTTTCTAATTGTCTTAATTAAAATACATTTCATTGATTTAATTGATGTGACATATAATATGGACATGCCACATCATGTGGTATAGAAATGTGGGATAAAAATGTGGTAAGTGTAGTATTACTCATTTCATTAATACGAATAAAAAGGCTTTCTATTTAAACCCCGCACTTCTCTTTGTTTACCCTAATACTTAAATCATTAAGCTATAAGTTTTATTATTGTGTAAAAAGACAAAAAATGTCATCTAACTTAATAATTAACCCTAGTATATCTATACAAACACCCCACCACTCTTCATAGTAAGTTTTAGAAACCTTCTCCCACTTCCTGTTTACAAACTCTCTCTCTCTCTCTCTCTCAAAAATACCCAAGTGTTAGAATTCCAATTACAGTTCTTAGAAAGAGGTAAAGCTGTTCTCTTCTCTATAAAGAAAATATTTAGATTTATTTATTTGAGTTTCATTTTTTTTTTTTTTGTTGGGAACAAAGAAAATTGTGGGGTTTAAATAGAAAATCTCTTATAGTTTTTATACAAATTTAGAAATAATCCAATCCTAGACATGTATTTATAAAAAAACCCAAACACTATTTAAACATAGAAACACACCCAAAATCAACTCCAAAATCAACAATTGTATATTTTTTGGGTGTGTTTATAAATGGGTTTTGAGTGTGCGTAATGATGGATTTTGGGTGTGTTTATAAAGTGTTTTGGATGTTGGGTTTTTTTATAATTTCAGCCCCCATTTTGGGTGTTTTAGTGAAACTCCCTTATATTTTTTCAGTTTGGAGTGTATTTAAGGGTAGTTTGGGAAGATAGTGGGGTTTTTTTTAGAAATTGTGAAAATTTAAATTAAAAGTTGGGGTGAACTAAGAGAAGTGTGAGGTTTAAATAGAAAATCTCTATTTAAAACATAGTAGTAACGGTTATCCAAGAGAACCTAAATAAAGTTATTCAAATGAAGAATTAAATAGGAAGTAAAGAAAATGATTATAGGGACTTAAGTAATTAAGTAATAATATGGGATCACAAAACCTAAATAAAGTAATCTGAGATTCTATTTCTTCGAAAAACATATTGTAGAGAGAATATAAATATACATGGTGTAGCATGTAATCATGAAATAACCGACAACGTGGTTGATAAGGCGCTCAAACAAAGTTGGAAATGGCTCATATATTTTAGAGAGTGCGTACAAAGCACACTTAATTTGTGAAACATTATGTGCATTCACATTTCCTCACACAAAGAAGCAATTTCATCACATCCATTTCATACAAACGGGATTTTCAGTAATGAAGGAAAACAAAACACACTTATTTTGGACGCCAAAGTTGCAGTTTTAGCTGGAATTTTCAGTAATGAATCGTTTGAGAATTGGCATCAAGTCCTTTGCGGCTTGGGAATTAGGATGAATGGTGAAGAAACCATGCTGCTCCCCTTCAAATTCCACGTACTCAACCTTCTTTCCCCAATTCTTGAGCCTCTTTGCGTAATCTTCAGCTCGGTCTTTGAGCAGATCACTGCCACCCACAACCACTAGGATCGGATCAAGAGCCACCGGTTCAAGGCTCCGGCTAAATGGCCCAAATGGGTTCACAAGTGGGTGATCTGTATTCTCCCCAGTTGGTATCGATAGCCTCCAAAACCTGCCCAATTTTTAGCAATACACAAATTTTTTTATTAAAAAATTCCAAATATAATATAGGGCCTTGTTAGTGTTTAATTTCACTTGCATGTGTCAACGATTATAATTGAACAGTTTTTTCATGTGAAATATTTTAGGAGTTCATCATGCTAATCAACAACTCTTAGTTAATCACTCGTAAACTTACGAGTGCTGCTATTTGTACTGTATTTATCGTGAATTTGGGATAAACACAAAATTTGGGATGAGAGGAGATTAAACAGAATTAGGGGATAAACACAAAAACACAGAAAGTAGAAATTGCAAAAACCTGTCAATGAGCTCCCAATTGAGAAAGGCATCTTTGGGCCCCTCAGCCTCCGACTTACTCAAAACCGTTCCACCGAAAAACGGTGCTAAAAGCAGATACCCCCTAACCCGAACCGGCCCCAACTCAGCCGAACCGGGCCCAAACTGAACCGCCAAGTTGTGAGCAATGTTCCCGCCCGCCGAGTCACCCGAAACAAACACGTTTTCAAAATCAGCCACGTCAGTCAACCACGTGTCCGGCTCGTCGGCCTCGGCTTGGGCCCGGAGCCACTCCAAAGCAGCGGCGCCGTCGTGGATCGCGCTGGGAGGCGGTGCTCGGGAGCGAGGCGATAGTCGGGCGAAACGACGACGCACTGGAGCTGGGAAGCGAGCTGGAAGCAGTAGTTCTGGCAGTTGGGCCAAGCTCGCGAGCCGATGCAGAAGCCTCCTCCGTGGATGTAGTAGAAGATGGGGAGCTTTTTGGACGACGAGGGAGAGCGTGTCGTTGCTGCTGGCTTGTAGAGGCGGAGTTGGAGGTGATTGGTCGGGTCGAAAAAGACGTCCTTCCAGGCGACGGAGCCGTCGTCCAGGACGGGGACGTCAAAGCTCGGGTTGGGAGAGCGGACGATGGAGCCGTCGCTGTATACGCGAAGAACGCCGCGGCATTCTTCGTAGGATAAAGTGTTGGGAGGGGTGGTGGTGGAGGTGGACATGCTTGTGTTGTGGTGATGAGGAGGACTTGTGAGAATTGTGAGAAAGGGAGGGAAGAGAAGTGGGGAAGAAATAAGGGAGGAGGAGGAGGAGGAGGAGGAGGAGGGAGGTGGGGGAGTGGAGTTGTTGGGTGTTTTCTGCATGTTGTTTTTGTTGTTTTGTGTGGAAATATAGTGGAGTGGGCCCATGGTGACTGGACAAAGCAGTTTTTAGTGGTTTTATTATTTTATTTTTTGTCCCAGCTTTTGTTTGTAGTGCTTGTCCTAGGTTTTTTATATAATAATAATAAACATGGTGATTGTTATTGTCTTTTTCTCTTTCTTAGACTTAGAAAAATATTATCAATTAATAATAAAAAAATAAAAACTCTACTCAATAATTGAATAACTTGCGTCTTAAAAACACGTGTCAATCAAAGCATTGTGGCAATTAGCTCATATTGACACTACAAACAAAAGTTGCAGTAGTGATTTTTAGTAACTAATGCTGGGATGACTAAAGCGGAGTAACTAAAGGCTTTAGTCACCCCAACATTAGTCACCAAATAATAGTGCCTTTTGCCACTTTTTTTTGTAGTGTGATTATTTTATAAGCCTTAAAGGATAAAAGATTGGATCGAATTAGAACCGATTACAAAATAACAAGATTGAACTAATCGTAGACATCCAATCCAGTCGAAATCACTACTACAAAGATAATAGGAATAAGTCTACTATAGAAAGCTAAAGAACATGATAAAACCAGTAGAGATTTCAGTTCTTGTCAACTGATAACTCACTAGCACCAGATGAGTTCTTGTCAGCTGCTATCTAACAGAGATGTTAGATAGTTATAACTGGTGAAGGTTAATCAATTGTAATGTTATAAAAGCTTGTGACTAGTTCAGTTATTCTTCATGAGAAAAGTCAATTCAGTGAATGATTTTTCCTCAGTTTCTCTCTAAGAAAACAGTGCTGCATGAAATATATACATGGAAACAAAATGTAAATTAGAATTTACAATTTTTCATCCTTCACAGTTTTTGAATAAGCACATGAACGTTAGAGAATGGGGCTACACTTCAAGGGAAAAAGAAGGATGCATTTGGACCGAAAAAGAATTAATGCTAGGGAAAATTCATTCAGATTGAAAATAGAGAAAGCAAATTAATACTTTGAAAACACAGTTCATAGCCGTCGAGAATATCCAGAACCTGCACACTTCTTGCAGAGTACCAATCCTACAGAAATAAAATTCATTTGAGAGAAAAGGAGAGATCGAACCATACAAAAATATTGAAAAAGTTCACCAAAAACCACAATTTGATTTACTTCTTTCAACCTTTAATGGAATTAAGGTTAAGATTTTAGAGACACGGACTGTGCTATTAGTAGTGGAACCTCTTATTAATGTTGTATTTTATTTTGTCCTCATGTCGGACTTTGCATTTTTCGACAATAATCATTCCACAGGGACGAATGACGATAGAGTACTGTTCACCAAAAAACTTGGATCAACTATGTTCTTACTCCTTAGATGGTCACAGCTGGGCCTAAGGGTAATAACACACAGGAAAGAAGCATCAGAAACTATTACCTGCACCCTTGCACACCTTGCAATCAATCAAGCCTGTCTCTGTCTTCATTTTACCATTGCTGCAGAAGACACATTTTGTACCACCTGACATCACTTATATATTAGGAGAAGATAGACCCCAAGGGTGAAAAAAATTACTTACTCTGGAAATAAAGTAGCATAACAGATGATATATAGAGCAGCATCTTTTACATCCAGTACCAATAAATTTGTTGCAGCATTTTCTGCCACATTGTGTATCCTATGTCCCTAGATGATTGAAAATAATGTGTGGAAGAGAGTAGGGGTCCAATGATGGTTTGGTTAAGTTAACAAGAAATCAATTGGCTCCAATAGTCCCCCAAAACTCTCAGCATTGCTGATATGTCTTACACTACATCAAGCTTTAATACCTGTGTATAAACTTGAGTTTCCTTTCAGTCGAGCACTCATCCAAACACCTCAATCCCTTGCCATTCTGAATTGAAATACTGATACAATAATGATATGATTACTACACGCGCCTTCTATTTAGCAAACATGCTAATGGGTGCACTGAACAATTTTCTTTCTCTGGACCGTTTATGAGCACAAATCTTACATCAATTTCAGAATTTTTGAATAATCCTAGCATAGATCTCCTTCAAACTATACAGCTGGATTTTTCTGGGTTCTTGTATATAATTTATGTTCTAGTGTTTCCACCTTCTGTTCAAATTGGTTGGCATCAGACCCAAAGACCTAATGTTACAATTTTCCCTTCTATGTAGCATGATTAATGCATAAAAGGGATTGACTACAATGTAAAGGCCTAAAGTCACTGTGGGAAGATTAGTGTACTAAATGGCATTCATGCTATGAGAAGAACAATTTAGAATATATCATGCTTCAATAACTGGGTTATGGATGGATTGCCTATATGTGAATATCAAAAAAGGACATAGAAATGGATTGCAAGAAAGGGGAATAATTCTCCAGCTAGCACAAAATTACCCTCTAGAAAGGCTGCACATTTTGAGGGCCAATAACTGCCACTAACAGCCAATTTGGCAAGCCCTGGATTGAACCGAACCCATTTTCGAAAACCCTCTTCACAAGTTTTACCGCCATCACCACCTCTACATGTTTTGGTTACACAGGAAGTCACCTATAAAGAATACCAATGACTTGCAACTCTGACAGCAGAGTCATCTGATCATGATAGAGCTCAACCAAGCGGTATCTGATAGTTTCATCATTGATATGCCCAAAAAATGATATGACCATCTGGTCAATCATCAAATACAAATTTAAGTTTCTAGTCCTTTTGTTTTAGAGTTTGTCATTCACCAGAAGTAACCATTTTTCTTTGTTTCTTCTTTTGTCTATAATTATTAACTTTTCGCTTTTGTTACAGAGCTATATTTTATTTAGCCATCAGTTTCTCCATATACTTCAATCCAAGGCTTCCAGTTTCCTATTGTCAAAGATGCTCTCTACAGATACTAACTACTGGCACTAGCTAACAAAAAGTAACCATTTCTCATAGAATTAACAAACGATATCAGCTTGCATTACTGATAAAACTCAATTCTGAAACTACCATAAGAGAGTTAAGCGAAGTTAAAGCACAGAACAAAAGAATATTAGCACTGTCATTATTTTTTCTACATTACATTCTTCCGTTGCTGGCTTGAAATGGAATCGGTATTTCATAATTATCTTTCATTTCTTTATAAATAAATAAAAACCAAGAAAAATAGAAACAATCACAAAGCCATTACCATTGCCAGCACATCTCTCACAAGGCAGAGGGTCACCCTGCAAAAGATTCAAGAACAGCCACAAACTCATCATTCATCAACCTTAACCCAAAAAACACCAAACCCACAAGCTCCATTTTTCTTTAAAGATATCATTTTTCCAAAACACACAAAACCCAGAAAGAAAGCTAGGCCAAGAAAGGCAGAACTAGTTGTTACCTTAAGACCGAGAAAGAGAGAGAGAGCAATGGCAGCCAAGACACTTATAGTAGCAAGAAAAGTTTGGGTATCCAAAGGTTTGTCAAAGCCAGCAAATAGTAGAATGGGCTGGACAAAGAGCCTTGTGGGTTGAATTATGACTTCAGGCCTAGCGGCAATTGTGGCAGAGCAGCGGAACAGTAAAGGGATTTCAGGTTTTATTTGGGGTTGATGTGGAAGAGAGTGATTGGCAGTGAGAGACGTTGTTGAAGAAGAAGAAGCAGAAGAAAGAGGATGCAGAGAGTAGCAGGAAAGTGTGGCCATGGATAGAAGTTAAGTGAGTATGTGGAGCTCAGTTTCGTTACTCGTATTCAGTTTTTTTTCTTTTCAACTTTTGTCGCAATCAGCCCAGAAAAAAACTTTCCACCTACAAATAACTCCCAAACTATTGTATTATTTTCATATTGGTACATGAATTATTGATTATTTACTGAGGCATACACAAACTTTAATGAAACCTACACATTGCCCCATCCGACAGCCAAAATGTTAAACAAAATTTGCAGAAATACCACCCAAACTATTAGGCATGTACCCATTTACCATCCAATAAAACAATTGAACTATCTACCATCCAATAATAATTTGAACTATTAACATCTCCAGTGGAGATGTCAAATTCAAACCACATGGCTTATATAACTATTTGACTCTATTTGACATCTTGTATAATCTGATTGCACCAATCAAAACAACAAATGGCAACATCCATTAAAGATAAGTGGGATTGATAGAAAAAATAATAATAGAAAAGATGCCTTAGTATGTTGGCGTTAAAATTGCCATCCATGCTCCAGCCTTCTTTTCCATGTCACCATTAAAGGCTGGTTGGACCTCCCAAAAACCTTCAATTGTAACCGTTTGGCTTGCTACTTGTCATGTAATGAGTCAGTTGGAGATGCTCATGTACCTATTTTAAGGCATGTTTGTTTATACTCTCAATTTTAACAATCAAGTATTCCGGCTTTGTCCAATTTTTTTTTCAATGTAGTCCCGACGTAGAATATATTGTTCAAAATAGAAAAAGTTTTGGACGGTTTGGGCATGAAAACATTAGTTGCTTGAAAATACCCTTAAATTGACATTGAAACATGTGAAAAAGTGGGTCTAAGGCTGCTACGTAGGCAATTAATGAGAATTTGACAAAAAACCTAACGACGGAATACATTGAATTTTTTTTAACAAATTCAGGAAAAAGTTCCAAAAAATTGTACCAGCCAATCTTGAGATCCATAATACACCAACAAAGATAGGCACCTAATATAATTTCAAGTCGCATAAAAGGAGTCAGTTTTTAGATAGTTTAGACATAAAATTATATGCAAAAGCCCTAAACCCTAAACTCTAAATGTAGAGGTTTGTGATACCGAATGGTGAAGGAAAATACTTACATCCTTCCTTGGAAGTAGGAGCTCCTACTTTCCTACTAATAGTAGGTTGACATGTGTTAGAGATTTTTCTTTTGGTGTTTTTGATGAATTATTTTTTATGCGTCAAACTATATGATTATATGTGGAAGGAGGGAAACAATGTCCAATAGGGCTTATCTCAATTGGTGAGCTCTTAGACCTTCACCCATATGGGCAGAGGTTTGAAACCCCCAGGTATACAATGAATATTTGTGTAAAACCCCCTCCCAAAATCGTTTGTACTAAATTTTTTTATAAAAAAGATGCCCTAATTATTGGAGAGACTACAAAAATTGCTTTAGAAAGGCTCCCTTTTTTACTAATAAATTCAGACATATAAGTTAAGCGCCTAGTATCTAAAACTATTCTTCTATCAATACATCGGCATACCTCATATGGCCTATACAGACCAGACGCTATTCACAGAATTCAGGTCAATGCCTATCAAACACCCATCAAAATACTTATACACAGACACCCAGTGAAATGCAAAACAGAGCATATAGGGCCTCACAAATCCTCAAGCAGGCATCATGTGACACATTTTTCCCCTTCAAGTGGTTGTGTAAGCCTCAGCCTTTTTGCAGCAGGTTGCTCTTGAGTTTCAGGCATCCGATCATCATCGAACATCTGCACATCATCACATGAGACTGTCCTGTTGTCTACCATATTAGAGTCTTGATACGCTGGTATATCAGGATTTTCTTGGCAGGAAGAAAGTGGAGCTCCATTTTCATTGCCATCATTCACTTTCACACGATCCCGAGAACCTTCATTTTCATTCCCATCATGCACCTTATCACAATCTCGAGAACCTTCATTTTCAGCGCCATTATGAACCTCATCATGGTCCTGAGAACCTCCATTTTCATTGCCATCATGCACCTTATCAGGGTCTTGAGAACCTCCATTTCCATTGCCATCATGCACCTTATCATGGTCTTGAGAACTCCCTTTCCATTGCCCTCATGCACCTTATCAGGGTCTTGAGAACTCCATATCCATTATTATAATGCACCTTATCATGGTCTTGAGAACCTTCAATAATGGAAGCATCTGGATTCCCTGGAGCAGAAACAAGGCCATCTGTTAAACATGTGACATTTTCCATAGCTGGATTGTTCACATCCATTTCTTCTTTCTGGCTCAGACCCAAATCTTCCTCCCCAACTGGATGGTTTTCCATGACCCCTAAATCTTCAGAATGGTCAGATGCACAATTTGATAGTTTGGGGGATGAATCAATGTTTCCATTTTCTTCTTGTGCAGATATTCCCAAGTCATAGGAGGTCTCAGCTCCATAAGTTCTCGATGTGTATGTAATGCCACAAGTTTGAGATGTGATTCCAGTTATTTGCTGAAAACCAGAATCTCCTGTAGGTGAAAAAGCAAAATGCTCTCCATTTTCGGTGTCTTCCTGTTATTTAACAAATACATAAGGGCAAGTACTGCTGTCTCTTCAATGAATCGATGTAAAACATGTATCCATTTATAATATGTATGCTTAGTCTTATACAGTTCTGAGCCCATAACTGGAAAAAAAGGAAAATAAGAAGAAGAAAGGCGTACCATCCTGTCTTACAAGTCTATATAAACCTAGGATTTGTAAAGAATGAAACAAATGTTTCTCAAAGCTTTAATTGGTTGAAAGAAAAAAAAGAAAGATATAACATGTAACGTATAACATGGCATTGCCAATACTCTCTTTCTCTCTCTCTCTCTCTCTCTCTCAAACACACATGAGCTTTATAAATCAACACCCAAAATATCCTTAAAAGCCAACATAAACAATGCTCATGCTTTTCAATCCCAACTATCTCATAATTAAAACAGATTTTGTTCCTTAAAAAAGAAAAAGAAATAGTGGTACCTCTATTGGTGGTATAGCTCCATTAAGAAGGTAAAAAGATGACTTTTGGTCAAATGATTGATATTGTCCAAATAGTGAGCCAGGGGTGGCTCCTGGCTCAAAAAATTCCCTGAGAACCAAGCCTGCATCACTAACACACTCAGAGCTCCTAAGAGAAGATGTGGATAACAGAGTAATTTCAATCCCCTGGCCTGCTTGAGAATTAGATATATTTTCTTGGCAAGGTATAGCAGGACCACATCTTCCTGAAAATGACTGCACACCAGTTTCATGCTCGTTACATTCCGGAAATTTAGCCTGGTCTTCATCACTGGAAGCTGCTGAAGAGACTTCCCGACAACGATTTTCAAGGAGCTCAAAAATTAACCTCTGGATAAGAGTACGCTTGAGAGAAGCCTCAGAAGGAAGAAACCAATCTGGATTAAGCTGGTAACAGAAGTTGGGGTTATGCATAGCTAAAATTTGAAATATAAAGTGAAAGATCAAGCCTAACAGTTAAAGAAATTTTGGGAAAAGGGTACATGATTTATAGGCACTGAAAACCATTTAAAGTTCCAGCATTTGTCTCTAAAGTCAGAGTTGGTCCCAACCCAATATCTGTTTATTCATCGTAAGGCATCCGAGCTGATAAAACTTTCAATTGAAGGAAAAGATCCTAGGATGAGAGCTTTCAATGTGATGCCCATGTTCAAATAGCACCACCAACGAACAGGAAGAAAGAAGGCAATAACATGGTAGAAATTGAAAATCCACATACTAACACACGTGTATATATGCACAAGCATTCAAACACTTCACATTACGGACATTCAAGAACTCAAATAGACAATGACTAAGAGCATGTAAATAAACGAAGCGCTTCCTATCAACTGCTGGATGAAAACCAATCCAACAGCTTAGAGTATAAAAATTCAAGCATGTCTCGTGGATATGTTTGACTTTTCATCCACCAGTTTATAGGAAACATGCATTTACTGTTTAGAGTATAACATGTTTGAATTTTCATACTCTAAGCTGCTAGATTTGTTTTCATCCAACAGTTAATAGTGGACGCACTTCGTTTACTTACATGCTCTTAATCATTTGTCTATTAAACCATGAAATTTCCATCCAATGACTTTAAGAATATGCTATATCTCCTCTTAAAGTGCTTGGGCACTCCTCCATGTGTGTAATTAATTAATAATACATGAACAAAAGAATATATGCCATGTTTCATATATACACTCCTCCATGTGTATCCAACTGATCTTCCACTCAAAATGGGTTTCACAAAAATCACCCTCTGAATTTAAATAGACTGTAACTATGTTTCCACCAAAAAAATGAAGTACGCATACAGCCAGGAGGTGCACAGTACAAGTTAAAAATTAAATATGTTAGGGCTGTGTACTAGATGTATAAAATTGACATGCCACATCATTCATACAGTACAAATAAAGGGTAAAAGTATTAAAAGAACTAATGAAATTAGGAAAATCTAGAAACAAAGTAGATCGCTTACGAAGTTGGAGAACTTGGTTATTTTGAAAGGACTGAAATAAACAGGAGCTTCTACCAGAAACAGCTCCAGATAGTGGAGCAAAAACAGGCCACAATCGAATGAATTTTCCTGTTGCGGTAACTGAAAGGAATGTGAACCATTGTCAGAAGTTTTAATATTTTACCATCAGCAAAAATTTAAGCCTTTTTTTGTTTGTTTTTGTTTTTGTTTTACATTTCTTAATCTAAAAGGACAGGAAAATAAGGAAGAAAGTGAAAAAACTTTTCAGAGATCAAATTATCTCCATGTAACCGAACAAAGAGAGAAAATATCTATTGCAGGAATACAAAGACAGCAGCAACATGACAGATGAAGATGCACATTCTAGAAAAGAAAAAAGGGAAGAAAGCAAGGAGCAGCTTTAAGATCACAATTCATAATTAAAAGCACTTATCCGATTCCCTAACTCATTTATAATGATAATCATAAAAAAGACTATTGCACTCATCTAATATCTATTTATAAACATTTAGAACAAAAGAGGAAGAACATTTTAGCTGTTCGTATTGTTAAAAGAGGATGAAATCACTATACTGCATCTAGAACTTAAACTATATTGACCATAAACACCAAAAAATGATGGGGAATAACGAAAAATAATTTGGTGCATTCACTTGAATATTAGACTATCTTAATACCCATGTCTACAAATTTCTTTGGGTGTGTGTTTTTCTCAAAGAAAAAGTTGCTTGAAGATAATAATGACCTTCACACAAGTCACTTTTTTTTTCCCTTTTTATCTTGTGATAAGACAAGAACAGTAGGCATTTAGATATCAAATATCATATCATCTAGAATGTCATATATCGAATAAACTAGTAAAGTAAAGTTGTCCTAAAGTAAGCGCATATTGAGGAGAGACATTTGCACAATTAGATCTGCACTTCCAAGAGCCCAAAGTTTCTTATTTTTCAAACTAAGATTAGCTACTATAAAGTGATCTAAACAGAATAAAGATGTCATAAGATTACAAAATACACTGAAACAACTTCCATCTCTCCCAATCTTGAGATGAGCTTGCATCACCAAAGCATTTCAGGATGCCCTACAGCTTCCCACAATTATTAAATGAGTTTACTCACAGCCAAAACACATGAACCATCTTATACAGTACTCAACCGAGAATGTCATTCCACATACCTACAAATCTCATATAATTATCATTTTGAACACCAAGGTTTTGTATCACCAAAATAATAGCCATATGCTAATAATATCAATCATTAGGCTAATGTATACGCAACAGTAATCATTTGACTGGCCTATAAAATCACTCTTTCATGTCAAACTTTCAGCTACAGTACCAATCTAAAGCATATTCCTTGGGTAATTCTTTTTGTTCTGTCTTTAAAAATCTGTTAGAGAAGACTGGAGTAATACCTCAAGTGGGACAAACCGCAGGTTGTGGAACTTTGATGACATTTCTTCAGATGCCTCCTTTTTCCTTTCTTTCCACTCTTCCCACAAGTAACTATCATTTCAAGATCAAAATTTGGGGTCACAATTAAAAGGTTTAAATTCTGAAGTTGTAAAAAATAATAGATATCCCATTCAACACCCCAGGTACTTAGCATCCTGTTCAAAAATTCTAATCATATGACAGAAAAACATATTTTTAAAACTCCTGTGTTGTCTCCATAAAAAATTAGAAAATCAAGTCCATTTATTTGACAATTATCCAAGTGACTTTTCCCTCAAATCCACTTCAATTTGCCCATCATCAGTGAATTAAAGCTTCATGTCCTAGTACAGATGAAAGCCACTCAAAATCCAGAAGAGCTGGAAAAATTTGAACAAGTTGTCTTTGCAGGCCAGATTTCAGTTAGTGCAGGAGGCATGCATTGTTTGTTGGACACAAACCACGTTATATAAAATAGTAGCGCCCCCACCCCCTACCAAATTTTAATATAAATCTAAAGAACTGTTAATTAAATAACAATTTAGCACTTTATAAACCCTTAATTTCTTTAAAAAAATTCTTTACTATTCATGAAAATTGAACTCAAAACAACCAATTTAGAGCACAATGATTGATTGAAGGGATTAATTATATAACCACTGGGCCTGGATGACTTTCTATCACATCTTTTGTTTATACTGTAATAGCCAATGCACACACATATGCACACAAAATTGTGTGTCTCGGTCATGCATTTACAAAAGAAATGAGATTTTTTTTTTCTTCTAATAAGATAAATTATTCAAGGAAATGAGGGTATACAAAAGGAACACCATATTTTGTCCAAGGGATCTTGTAAACAAATTTATTTTTTGGTTCTTCTCTTTTTTTCCCTCTCTTTTCCTTTGTTGTATTGGAAGCATCCAAAACCAAGACCCACCACTACCCTACACACTTTTACCTCTTGAACCAAAGCCCACTTGGCCTCTCAGTTCTTAAAACTCCAACTTAGCATAAAATACAAGAACAATAAAAGGAATATGAAAAGAAGGGACTTCATAACACCTGTTTTTCCAAAAAATAAGAAATAAAAATAAATGCATACTGCCTTTAAAAAAAAGAAAAGAAAAAGAACTTCAATAGTATACCTTTGAATTAGATTTTTCAGACCCGTATGACTTCCTTTGATAGAATCCATATGCAAAATACAAGGTACTTTAAGTGACTTGCCTGAGTCGCCATCTGAACATGACAAAACTACAACATAAATGATGGGAAAAATCCACAGATACACATTGCACAATCCAACAAAAACTTACCATTAAGTCTAGGCACTTCACCGGGATGACATATGACTATTAGACTCCAGTGTAGACTGATATTAAAAACCACATATTAGCACCCATTAAATTGATCTTATTACAAGAGGCATGAAGTTTGGTCAAAGGATCATACTTGAAGTTTACAGGAATGAAGATGTAATCCTTTTCAAATAAATCCACTTTCCTTGTCCATTTACGAACTCGTTGGAAAGCAGCTCTGCCATCAGAAACACTGGATGGATCTTTGTCCAGGTCAGCCAGCTTCCGGAAGAAGAAACTATTGAAAAAGTGGAACCTATGCTTTTCCTTAGATTGAATCTGATTCTTCAAATACCTGTCAATTGATTACTTTGTAATGGGAATATTTGAATTTTAAAAGTGGCAGAAATTACAATCACAACAATCACATTATGATTCTAACTGCTAATAAAGACAATTGCAATTAGCATTAGCATTGTCTTTTAGAAATTAGAAATTATAATCATAAGGTGATATAAATTTTTCAATTTCTGTTTCCACTTTCAAGACATTAGTATTTTAATTTATTTGAGCATTCCATTTTTTAAAATTATCACATTCAAATTGTCTTGTCTATTATTAGCAGTTAACAACTTTTCAATGCTTTGATCTTCCATTTCAGTTATTTTTACTTTAATTTACTTGAAAATTATTATTCATTTGGTTAACTAGGGAATTAAATCTAGCAAGTCAAAAGTTCCTAGATAACAAGGCAAGGGCTTTGTTGAAGATAGTGATGATATTCGGGTGGCGACCAATGTTCTCCTCAATGCGGTGAGTAGAGGTAGTTATTAGAGCTGATGCATTCAGTACACTAGTAAATGCAAACTTAGGGTATGCTAGGGTCTTTTCTTGATATTCGTTAATACAATTGATTTACTTAAAAAAATATTATAGAACTAAAAAACCAAAAGCTTGGTGTCACTACGATTAGAAATTATATGTATTGTATCTTCAGGGAGCACTTGTAATTGTAAGGACGAAAGTCCATCAAATATTTAGGATTCCGAAATAGGTAGGTCTTTAATATAAAGCAAATAAAGTTATGCATGTGAGCTTATACATGCAAGCTTACTTGATGTAGAAGTCAATAATTGTATCATTAATAAATGTCTCTGGCTGTAAGAGATCAACATCTCTCTTGCTGATGGAAACAGCATCTGCCTCCCCTTTTGGATATACAACATCTTCAAATGGCTCATCAAAACTGTATAACATCTCAAATTTGTTCAGTATACATCATACAGTAGCACCTTTAAAGAAAACAGAAAATTGTTCACTAAAGCAAAGCAGTCGTGTTCTCTTTCAAAAATAGAACAACCAAGAGAAGGGACCACAGCAATTTATTCTTCGGCCATTTGTTCTATGATTAAAGCAAAAAAAGCACACATCCACATTATATATGAAAACGATTCCTTAATTCTCAATACAATAATCATTTAAATTTTACAAACATATTCAAGAAAGTCATGGTAGTAAAACAAGCCTTGTCAAACTATAGATAACGTGATACCCATGCATATACCATAAGAAACAGAGAGTTAAAATCTTCATCCAATCCTCATCAAATAAGAGAAAAAAGAAAAGAACAGAAAACATAAGAAACATAAAGGAGTACTGAACTCAAAAAGGGAGATGAAATTTGACAACAAGCATTATAATTTGTATCTTCATAGTTACAATGAAAAGGAACTAGGATCACTTTAACTCACTTTGGAAAATGATGCCCCTGCCCAGGTGAATCATCCTCATCTGTTTCCACGCCCATGCTACTTGTACCAAAATGGGGAGAAAGATGAGTTTAAGACTATGTATAGAACTACCGAAGTAAAATGAATTAGACTATGTATGCCGCACACAGAAGAGATAGTATAAATTTACAAACATGGCAAACAATTTACCTAAGAAAAATAAAATGTGAATCCCAGCAATTTGCCTTGCATTTGTAAGCTAGATATATGGCAACAGAGAAAGAGAATATGAAGATACCAACCAAAATCTAACCACACATGTACGGTTGAACCATTCTTTTTTTCCTTCTTTTTTCAGGAGTACAATTTAACCATTCTAATTTACAAACCATTACCAAAACAGGGATAGTTATTACATGAGCAGTACATCATCCCTGTAAAGAGGCAAAAGAACTGGACACTATGCCCGGCACTTGACAGATACCACACAAAGCAAATGCTCACTAAAAGGTACAAACTAATGTAAGTGAAGAACATGGTTCTAAAGCAGGGGCTTTTAAGCCAATAATTCCTGTTTACTGAGCTTCTTTCACCATCAACTCTGAAAATAAAAATGCAACCTAAACGTGGAACACTATTACTGGGCAGTTCCAAATTGAACACTGGGCCCCTCTGATATCCCTCACTGACTCTCTAGACAAAGTACGACAACAATCCCTTTGTTACTGAACTATATATCCCCTCAAATATGTCATGGTATAATCACCCAAAAGGCCACTTAATCTATTTGATTCTAAAACTAAATCCCCTCAGGGAAATAAAATTATAATCCTGATGAAATGGTATTTCATTGATCTGATAAAAGTGTAGGGGCAGAGCCAGAATTTTAGTTCACAGGGGGCACCCTCAAGTTATCTTCAAACTACAAATTTCAAGCTTGCATGACATATACTATAAGATTTAATGTTGTCATAGTAAAACAACTATAAATTGTTTTTTAACAAAAATAAAAGCAATTATACAAGGAAGAGAGTTTAATAAAGGACAGCCTGGCTAATTCATAGTATATAATGGAGAAGAGAAACAATATTCATAAAATGATAGGAATGATAATTTTTTTCAGAAGACAAAAAACAAAAAACTTTGGCTGAACAAGACCTTGAGGGTGGCATGTGACCCCCCTGAGCATTACTAATAAAGCGGATACTGGAACCTGGCCATTAATCTTCAATCAGATTACATTGACCATGTCTTGGATATTGTTTTAGATATGCTATCTCCAACTTGTGTATGTTGGTGGATATACCAATAATTTTGTTAATGTGGGTACAGCTAGAGAATTAAAGAAGAAATTTTTTAATTTTTAAAATCTCATAGATTATATAAATGATGCCAAAAGTAGTAAGGTGCAGTAATGAAACTTCATCTGAAAGTACATTATTTTTAAATAATTTCCTAGTTTATCTCTCAAATCATAATCAGCATAATAGGCCATTAAATTTAAGCAGCTTATTGGCATAAAGCTTGGAACATCAAGAAATATGGTACATAAGAAACACAGGACAATATTGTATTAACAGACGCAACATAAACAAACTTACTCTTGCAGAAGAACCCATGCATTCAAATATTTTGCATTCAAAGATGCTATCCTTTCCTCTTTCTCAGACCAATAGGGTTCAACAACTGCAATCTTCAACTCCTCAAAGCCTAAGAGAGTTTGGGTAGCAGATCATGTCAGGAAAAAAAAACAAGGAGCCAGACTCAGCTTAAGAGTTTGAAGTCCCAAATAGCAGCTAAAGCATAGCATTAACAAGTTTGGACAAGATTTAAACCTTTTCTGAACTAGAAAGAAGCATATTTTCTCATATGGCATATACTACTTGCTAAAAGGAATTTATAATACTTGGATTACAAATCACTTGTATATCTTATTTATAACATTTAGGTAACAAAAAAGAGTTTCCATATCTGAGCATCCGTAAGGACTATAACATAACATGTATCTAATCTTTTATCAGTGTCTTAGCTACACAGCTTAAACATCATAAATTGAGATGTGAGAATTGCATAGAACCAGAATGAAAATTGACCAAAATTTTGGAGGAGGATCACATTAGCTTCAATAATTGAACAGCAGATTTAACAATCTGCCTATGAAGATGTTAGTAAATTTTTAACAAAGATAAGTCCCAGAAAGTACACATGCATCACCAACCCTACTACGAGAAGGCCAAAAACAACAAAAAGAACAAAGCTTTTGTACAAGTGCACTGACCAGAAACACCATCCGCAGTATCCTCTTGAGGGGCATCCTTTGATATCACACGGAGTTTTATCATCACAAATTCAGCCTGAATGTAGTGTAATAAACTGTACATATTCAATACCAAGTATATATATAAAAAGTGGTGACATCCAATAGGAGTTTCAGGACTCACTTTTGGAAACCTCTGACACTCCAAAGTAATGAGATCATCAACTCCCCATTCAAAATCAAAGGGTTCAGATGTTTTTGAGCCACTGACTTTGATGCAACTGTCGGAAAACGTTAACTGGGGTTCTGTACAATAACTATCCCGATATACAACATAATCAGGATAAAGAACTACCGTCATTTTTATGTTATCCTGCAAATTGTGCAAGTCACAATTAATTGGCCTTCAAATATTGGATAAAACATCGTATTCAAAACTTTGCACTAGAAAAGAAAGATAGTATTCAACATTTATATACAAGCCAAGTAACTTTGTGCACATCAATAATTTTTTTTTTTTAGTTTCACTACACTTCTTCAGAGATTAGATTGTCTTCGGTCACTGATAAAAATGTATCTCACTTCCTGATGCAAAATAGCACTTTACCTTTAGCTAATTGAGCTTGACAGTCAATAAAGAAAAACTACATAGATCACAAAACTAGGCTCGTGGAAGAAGTGGCTGGGTTCGACGGCGACTCGGCGAAGGACAGAAGAAGAGGCTGGGTTCGACGGCGCGTAGTTCTCTTTCTCTTCCTTCTTCCTTCTTCCTTCTTCCTATTTCTTCCTCTTTTCTGGTTATTCTCGCCCAAATCAAATGAATACCTAGCTTCTATCGAGAAGAAGAGGCTGGGTCTTTACAGACGGAGTTTTTAAAATTAACATTTTGACCCCAAAATGTTTTATAATTTTGAAAACGACCTAACATGGTTTCACATATTTTCAAAATTACCCCTTAAAGTATCGGGACCGTATCCTTGGATGTTTAGTTGTGTGGACCCCATTAAGGGTGCTTTCCCTGGAGAAATGAAGTTAGGTTTCCTAACTTTCCCCAAATTCCCTCCAATTTGCCCCCCCTAATTCTCATAGCCACTGCCCTACGAGGAGACTTCATTTATTTGTCAAAGCTCTAAAATGGGCTTCACCTGGCCCTTTCTTGTTGGTCGTTTTCACTATTTGCCATCATTTGCATAAAGAAGAGATGGGTGAAGGAGGAGATAGGCTGGTGCAACGTTGTCATTGTGGCACTATTGCTCAGCTTCAAAAGCAAATTTCTAGCGTGACCAAGGGGAAAGGTAGGCATGTAAGCTCCATATGCGTGATTGTGCTGGGCATGAGAGTTGAAAATTTTATTTCTTTATTGGAATGGAGCGAAGAGGGGGAAGATGATTTGGGTTTTTTTAATGCGGGTTGATGCTGAAATATGTGAGCATTCGAAGATAGTGATACTTGGTTTGCGTAAAAAGCTTGACAAATTAGAAGCTGGAAATGACAAGATTTGAAGGAAGTGTAGAATTTTGTGGGTTGTAATGGGTCTTTCATGGTTAAAGGTGTTTGCCATGAAAATATAATTTAGATGAAATATAATGTAATTGTAAGTTTGGTTGTACTAGGAGACTTCTGTGTAATTGTATTATGGTTTTTTTTTTTATACTTATCAACAAGGCTTGCAAATTTACAAATGTACAAGCATTCATCACTTTAAGCAAACTGACCAAACTTGCAAAATTTGCTCACCAAACTGACTAAACAAAAACAATGTGCTCAAAAGAGGTGTAGAATGGGTCCACTTACACACGGGTTGGGAAGTTCCACCATCTCTAAGCACAACCATCTTCGCACTAATTCACTTTAGAGCCTTAAAGTCCAACACCAATCACCTTTTAAATATTCCAGCGCCTTAAAGCCACAAAGTATGCATTAATAGTGAAAGATTCATGCTTTTGACAGCTACCACAACTCAATCACTCATCTTCTACACACACTGTACTGCTTGCGCCAAATTCAATAGCTACCTAAATCTCTAGTCACACAATTTTGTTCGAATTCCCAATTTTGGAACCCTAATGCACACCCGTTCCTTTCAAAAACTGATTTGAAGCCAATGAGTCCTACTAGTGCCACATAGCAATCCACAGTAGGGCAAATTCTTGTAAAAATAATGAAATTACAAAATTACCCATGCCACATCACCCAACTTAACGATACTCGGAAGCCAATGGGCCCACCGGTGCCACGTAGCAATCCATAGTATGGCCAATTCCTATCAAAATAATGAAATTACAAAATTACTCATGCCGCATCACCCAACTTAATGATACTTTCCACAAAATAGACGGAATGGTGTAACTTAACTCATGGAAATGAAGCATAAGGGGTATACAAAGTGATCTTAAAGTTCAGGGGGCGAACTGAGACAAAACTGAAAGCACATGACGCATTTCAACAAATAAGCATGTTTTTCTATGTTGCACGGATGCATATATGATGACACAGGGAAATGAAAAATCTTAAAAAAACTAGGACACGGGGATACAATTACAAAAAAAAAAAAAAAAAAAAAAAATACTAATATATATATTAAAAAATAAATAAAACATACATCAATTTTACAATACCATATATAGTGAAATTCAAGCTTTTCAAGCCTTTCAAATGTAGTTTTTTAATTTTATATAAATTATAATTGAATTAACACATTAGTTGACCTTGAGTATGAGTTGACCCCATTGATAAGAGCATTTTAATGCATATTTGTTATCCATGAAACTATTCTTTTGCTAGCATTTTATTTGAGTTATTTTGTTATTTGCATTGTTTTTGTACATTAGAAAATATTAAAAGCTTTATGAATAAATATGCTACTAAGGATTATTTAGAAGCATAAATGGTATTGGGCATCTTTAAGGATTATTTAGAAGCATAAATGGTATTGGGTAGGGGTGGACATGGTCCGGTTTCATCCTCAAACCACAGTTGAACCAATTAAACTTTTACGGTCCGGTGTGGTTCGGTTTGAACTAAAATCAAAATGAAAACCGAACCAAACCAAACCATTCATATCCGGTTTGGTGCGGTTTGGTTTGGTTGGTTTAGGCATAAAAGAAAACATGCTTACAATAACACAAAACCTGTTAACATCAGTATTCCATCAAATAATCCTAAAACTAAACTTGCTCCTAACAAACATAAACATTTTCATCAAAGTTCATTCAAACTTCTAGCAACAAACTTCAACATACAATCCCATATTTTCATACAAATACAAACAAATTTCAATACCTAATTGATTAATACAATTGGAAATTACAGACCAACTAATCAACTACAACATTCATTCTGATTTTATCAAATTAATGCAAAGAACAAAAAGCCAAACAAACACATGTATTCTTATTCTTCTGCAAGACATTTATGAGAGAGCCATTAACCATATACTCTGTCACTGTTGACACAGAACCTCCCAGCCTATCAAGCACAACACCATAGAAGCTACCACATTGAGGTGGTGCAAATCAGCAAGTTTAATGGCCTCGTTCTAGAAATCATCTCTCTGATTGAATACAAAATTTACAACATAGGGACCATGCAAGTGAGGCATTAATAATAAAAAATTAATAGCTTTTGGAAACTAGTGCAATGAAAAGACAAATAATTTATTCTTCCATAACCCAATTCTCTCAGCTCTTCCCACACCTTGACAGACCCAATCCCATATTTTCATAAATACAAATAATTGATAAATACGAATCAAATTAGAAATTTCAAAACCCAATTGATTAATTGACATCTTACAAAGCAGAGTAAGACAACAAAACAAAACCAAAAATTGGGTATGATTCAAGAATTGAAACAAACCTTAGTTATAAGAGGGTGGGATTGAAGTGGTATGAGATATTTTCTCCAAGCCCCACTGAGTATCTCATACATGGTTTTGCAGCTGCGAATTAAGAGGAAGATACAAGAGGACAATTTCAAAAAAGCTCAAACTGCAGCTGAACCAAACCAACTCGGTTCGGATCAGTTTTTCAAACTGTTGACTTTTTCTTTGGTCAAAACCAAACCAAACCAAACCAATATAATCGGTTCGGCCAGTGTAATCGAATCGGCCGGATTGATGCCCACCCCTAGTAGTAGGCATCTTCTTTCAATATTATGAAACCTTTACCAAATTATGTATGCCATCTTTCAATTAGCTTACCACTATTTAATTTGAGCCTTGCTTACACAAGTTTTCTTCTTTAAAAAAATGAACAACAAAGAAAAATTATTCAGAGTAATTTTGATGAAGAAACTTGGTGTACTTTTGCAGTAGGTTCATGATGGATTGGGTTCCAATTAGATTATACAGAAACCTTGCAGACAAGGGTGTAGCATTTCCAAGGTGGTAGCCAATGAGCATAAAAACCAGCCTTTGGAACAGATACATGAATGGCACCTTGAGCTACATGTGAAAAAGCTGCAAGTTGAAAACCAAATGGAGCTTGTGGAAGCAAATATTCATGGATCCTAGGTCAAATAATTAATCCAATCAAATTGGGAACTATTTGATTCTTACCATAATCAAATCCCTTATTAAATTAATCTCTCCAAATTCGGGAAGAATAATTCCTTTCCATGTGTGAAATTATTCTTCCGAAACCCTAACCTTCAAGGCTCCTATAAATACATGGTTGCACATAAGGTTTGAGGTAATTCTAAACTTACGTATGAAACTCTGCATAAATCCCCTCACAAACCCTAGCCGCCACTTTCCATCTCTCTCTCTCTCTCTCTCTCTCTCTCTCTCTCACACACACACACACACACACACTCCGGTCACCACACAAGACTCTAGCCACCCGGTTCTTCCAGAGAGAAATCTCCATACACTTTGTTAGCTACTATTTTTTCTACACACAGTCGACCTAACTTAGACATCAAAAGGCCTTTGGCCAACACCCCCTGGTGTGGTCTTTTCACTTCGTGTTGTTTTGCAGGGAGAAAGAGAAGAGAAGAGGAAGAAGGGATCTTCAGATGAATATTCTATAGGGAAGAAAATTACTCCCACAAATTGGTGCTTTCATTGAGAGTGCAAGTGAATACTCAACTCGTGCTCCAAATCCATTTTCCACACTTTGTTTTGATCAATCATAGTTAATACAAGACTTACGAGGAGTATGGCCACTACGATATTGCAATCCACGACAGAAACCTTGCTGCAACCACAAGGAAGCGCGGCTGCTAGCATCTCGTAGCAGCCTCCCATGGTTGCCAATGCTAAACAGCCACCTCCTGAAGGCTTGCAGCTGTTGCACTGCCACCAAACCATGTGTCTAGAATTGCATAGCCGCTCATTGTTGCGCTGCTGCAAAGCCCCATGACCTTTACAGCTTTGCAGCCGCAAGTGCCGGCTGCTGGAGCATCTTCACCGTGCCATCTCGCCACTGAAGCATAGTAGCAGCAGCACCATGTAGTTGATGGATTTGCTGCATAGCCGCACGACTACCTCAATGCCGTCCCGGTCTTGAAACAAATCCATCCACTCCCCCCTTTGTCGTCTTACTTGACGTATGCACCCGTGTACACGTCCAATGGAGCCCTAGCCCATATGCCTTTGGGCCTAGTGCACACCACTCTTCCCGATCCACGTAATGAGGTGGACCTTAACTTATAGGTTGATCAACTCACATAAAAAGTCAATGACCAAAACAATTTAATTGGATGGCTACTTGGATAGATCAACTTAGGTCGCGGCCTTGACCTTGGAGCCGAAGGCGAGGAGAGAAGGATGCACGAGTATACTGACACACAGTTCGAGAGGTCCAAGGTCAGTCAGACAATGACAAATGGGTAGGGGAGAGAACAAGAACATGCTATTCAACACTCGGGCAAGACACAGACATCTGCAAGCTACACTCGTAGCCGATCAACAATCCGTAATAGATTAGGTCCAAGGACCAATGTGTATGGGAGGCTAGGCCCACAATTCGATGTCCATACTCTTTTGGGCCCACAAGGAGCTCGAGTTCATGAATAGTTGTGTGACAAACACAAAGACCTACGCTCACCAACCCGCTTGAGAACCAACTCATGTCAACGAGCCATAGAGGAACCGTCACAAGATCAATCTAATTATCCGCTCTATGGGCAGGTTAACTAAGAGTATTTCCACCAGTTAGCCCATTGCCATGGCAAAGGGACCCCTAGGGCAGCTACTATTCACGTGAATAGTGGCTGCCCTAGCCCCCTCAGCAAAGTGTGTTTCCAGCAGTTTAGGCTTGCCATGGCAAATACTATTCATTTTTTTTGTTTTTGTTTTTCAAAACTTTGTTTATTTAAACAATTAATTTGGATAATATTTTCGGATAAGATTTTTCGGTTCCTACGTGTCAATACTATTCATATCGGATAAGATTTTCGGTTTGAAATTTAAGATAAATTTCAAATTTAAGATACATTTCAAAATTCAAATTTCAGATAAATTCAAAATGTCAAATTTCAGATACATTTCAAAATTCAAAATTCAGATAAATTTCAAATTCCAAATTTCATGTGAATTTCAAATTTCAGAAAAGATTTTCACCCTCTAAAATTGCGCCACGTGTCATCTCTATCTGCCTAAATTTTTCTATAAAACCAGAGGCTCAGCTCATACCTCCCACACCATATCTTCTCTACATCTTCATTTCTCATATTTTAGATTTCATTTATCATATTTTAGATTTCATTCTCCATTCTCAATGTCAGACATGGAAGAGGTTTTGGAGAGGCAAGAGCGAGAAAGGCAAGCAAGAATGCGTGGAAGAGCTGCAAGCAAAAGGGCGCAGAGAGAACTAGATGAGCAACTTGGTGTGGCCATTGCTTTGCTGGAGGAAGAAAACCAGAGCCGCCGTGGTTCACGAGAAGGCTGGGCACCGAATGTGGACAGACATAGACATTCTCGGGGTAAGAATCTTCTGGAAGATTATTTTATCCCACAATCTCTGTACTCTGATGTTCATTTTTGAGCAAGATATAGAATGCAACCCCATTTATTCAATAAAGTCATGCATGATATTTGCAATTATGATGACTACTTTGTTCAAAAGAAAAATTGTGCTGGAAATTTGGGGCTTCTTCCCGAGCAAAAGTTCACAGCTGTGATACGAATGTTGGCGTATGGGTCATCTGCTGATCAAGTGGATGAGATTGTCAGGATGGGGAAGTCCACTATTTTGGAGAGCTTGGTGCGATTTTGTGATGCAGTGGAAACTCTGTACACCAGGGACTACCTGTGTAGACCTACGCCTAGGGACCTGCAACGGCTTCTACAAAAAGCTGAGTCTCGTGGATTTCCTAGGATGATTGGTAGCATTGACTGCATGCACTGGCAGTGGAAAAATTGTCCAACTGCTGAGTAAGGGGATTATGGCAATCAGAAAGGGCAGAAAAACATCATCCTCGAAGCAGTTGCTGGTTTTGATACATGGGTTTGGCACGCCTTCTTTGGAGTTGCCAGCTCTCAAATAGATTTAAACGTCCTGGGTCAATCCCTGGTGTTCAATGATGTTCTGAGAGGTGAAAGCCCAACTATCACATATTAAATTAATAATTCCGTATACCAGAACGGGTATTATCTAGTTGATGGTATCTACCCGAGGTGGACAACATTTGTGAAATCAATTCCACATCCCCTCCTCCGGTTTCACTAGAAGAACCCATAATATGATAGAGAAACAAACAACGTGAAAGTGAAAAAAATATTGAGTAGAAAGTGAATAATAGTACAAGGAGAAGAAAATGTATAAGGAGTTGGTGTTAAAAGTGAAGAGTATTGATTGGTATTTATAGAAAAAAAATTCAGTATTTTTTGGGTAATTTTTTTAAATTTTTAACGATTTTTTTATTGGGCAAAAAATTGGCTGCCATTGGATTGCTGGAAAAAAGGGGATCGGAGAGCCCAGAAGGAGCCATGTGGAAGAGAGCCGTTGGGGGGGCAGTTTCGATTTTTTTATTCGGGAAAAAATGGATGCCGTTGGATTTATGGAAAAAGTGGATCGGATAGCCCAGAAGAAGCCATGTGGAAGAAAGCCGTTGGGGGGACACTGTAGCGGGTGCGTCAAATTTTTTTAATGTTGGCGCGTGCAACACGCGGCAAGGTTAAAAAAATTTAAACTCCAGCGTTGATGTCATATTGCCCTCAGGCCAGCCCAGGTTGCTGGGCCACACTTCTTGCCATGGCTAAAATCTTTGTTGCTAGAAACCTTTTTTTGGGTGGCCCCCCCCCCCCCCCCCCCCCCCCCCCCCCCCCCCCCCCCCAACCCTCCCTCCCTCCTTTTCCCCTTTCCTTGCCCCTTGCTGAAATGCTCTAAGGGATCAACCCTTGGAGGCTGAGGAGGAAGTTAACCAGTGGCGTCCGAGGCATTGAATACACCGACTTAAGCCACAAGCCCTGCGTGCAGAAGATTTCGAGATGTTTGTGAATGATTGACTTTAGAGTCTCCAACTTAAAGGAAGCATGGAGGAAGCCTTGGGTAGGGAAGTTGATCAAGTTAGCTCCGCACCCTTCACCGACGAAGTGGAGTAGGCTACACCTCTGAAGTGGTTCACAACATTGTCCATCACACCTTTCAAATGGGACTCTGACCTTAAAAGTCATTTGAAGCTCTTCAAGGGTGCTATGATCCTGTACAAGGCAGATAACACCCTGATGTGGAAGGTGTTCATGATGACTTTAGGAAGAGTAGCTCAGGACTGGTTCCGCACTCTACTGGACGCTTCAAGAAGTTTGCCTTCATTTTCACAAAAGAGAACACCTCCTACTGGACGGTCAAAAAGTAGCCAGACCACTTATTTAGTATGCATAAAAAGCCTGACGAGTCTCTACAAAACTATATCAAGAGATTCAAGGCTGAGAAGGCGAACATCGTAGGATGCGATGATCTAATTGCATCCTCAGCTTTTAAGAAGGGCTTGTCAACTAAGCACGAGCTATACCATGAAATGACCATCACTCCGAGCCAAACCCTGCAGACCAGAAAGGAAAGGGGATAGCTACTCCTAATAGAAATCAAAGAGTTAGGGCCAAGTTGAGGGAATCCTTCTAGAGGTCTCTCCTGAAGAAGGATGGAGGCCCAAAGAGGAAGTTGAGTATCCGTTGATCTTGACAAGGAAGAGAGAAAAGCGGGGATCGGCTAGCACCTAAGCCCGGAAGAGAAAGATCATGCAGGCGACTTATGTCTCCCAAATCACAATCGGTGATCCAGCCATTGAAGACACTCTTATCATCAGCTTATAGAAGCATGACTTGATCAAGCTTGATCTGCCACATAATGACACCCTCGTCATCTGCATCCAGATTGAACAAGCTGTGATCGAGCGAGTTCACATAGATGAGAGCAGTACTACCAACATCCTGCAACTGTCTGTTATCCAGCAGATGGGGTTGGAGCCCAAGATTAACAAGCTTGCAAGGTCACTCATCAGCTTTAACAGGGCTACATCGATCATTATGGGAACTATTGACCTTGACATCCACTCACCCTCGGTGGTCTGGTCACAGACGTTCATGGTCATCGGTGAGGTCTCCCCTATAATGGAATCTTGGGCCGACCATGGATCAGCAAGATTGAAGTCGTCACATCTGCTTCACATCAGAAAATCGGCTACCTCATTCTTGGGGGTAGATCAATAGTGATCAAGCCATGGCAAGGAGATGCACAACCCAATGGCTTAAGAAGAGCAAATATTTGCAATGCACACCGGTGATGCAGACTGCTGAAGAGGCAGGTCACGCTCCCTATAGACTAAGGTTGGCAATGGGTCGTGTCGTGTCGTGTCAAGATTATATGTGTTAGGAATGTTCAACCCAAACTCGACCCGTTTAATAAACGTGTCATGCACGGGTTGACCTGTTAAGTTCTCGTGCGGGTTTTGGGTTGTGTCAGTTGACCCGCTAAGTGGTAGTAACAAAAAAACTTTAAAAAAAATTAGAAAAATGAAAAATAAACAAATAAATGGGTTAGTGGGTTGGCGGGTTACAGGGGTCTTTTTGTGGGTTGGCAAGTTACATAGGTATTTTAGCGAGTTACATAGGTATTTTAGCAGGTTGGCGAGTTGACCCACCATGACCCGTTTTGTTAAACGGGTTACATAGGTATTTTAGCTAGTTGATGGGTTGACTCGAAATCCACCCTTTTATTAAATGTGTCATAGTGGGTTGACCTGAAAATGACCCAATTTTTAATCGTGTGGGTTGAACCCACTAAATTCTCGTGCGGGTTTCGAGTCATGTAACGGGTCGTGCCCGAAATTGCCACCCCTACTATACAAAAGTAAAGGAAATAGAGTTGCCACCTCCCAATAACAACTAAGGAGCCATGATCAAGACGAGGAAATCCGCTCGAAAGGATCTCCTGAAGATGGTTGGAAGCCTGAGGAAGACATTGAGTTTATACTCATTGATCTTGGTTGGCCAGACAAGAAGGCGCAGATCGACTTTTACCTAAGCCCAAACGAGAAGGATCGAGACGAGGTAATCCTCTTAGAAGGCTTCCTTGAAAAGGTTGAAAGCCTAAGAAAGACTTTAAGTTAGTACCCATTGATCTTGACCAGCTAGAAAGAAAAGCACGGATCGGCTCGCGCCTAAGCCCAAATGAAAAGGTGGAGCTGACCACCTTTGACAGGACCAGCCCCGAATTTTCACAAAACCCGAGACGAATCCTGCGGAGAACCCGGCATCACACCCATGCTGGTTTCACTCCTTGAAAAGGTAACCTCCTTCTTCAAGAGGAGTAAGGGTACGAGACTTTCTGCCGAAAATTCGGCAGAGTCTCCCCTGTAATTTGAACATTTCCCAAAATTTCCACCTGCATAAAACGCATTTAATAACCACAACTGGCAGCATGCACAATGTAATAACATGCAATTCACAATAATGGCCTCCGACCCTCTGATAATTCAAAGTAAACTACCAACCACACGATCGATAAAAAAATAACTTCCCCCAAGCATCCAACACGCAAGGTTTCAACCTCAAATCACTATCACAAATAGCTCGGGGCCTCAGCCCAAACATACAACACCCCAAATGGGTCTTGCCCCTAAATCAACCACAACACTCTAATACCACCCTCTCGTAGTCAAATGGGAGTATGAACCATTATCTAATCACATCTTGGTTTCATCCGAATTTCAGGACCAAAGACAAGGTCCGAACCAACCTCACTAACACAACCTAAGTGAGGTTTAACCCGCGGCTGCACCCAGGCATCACCCTAGGCTGCCTACGTACCCTCAACCAGGGATCAAGCCACACGTAGTTCTTCCATATCAATGGTCACATCTCCGATAATATACAATTAATTAAAGCAGAACCAACAAATACATTTCAAATTTATCACCAATCAATTTCCCACTAAACACAATGAACACATTCTCAAACTCTTCCTTTATATCAAATCAACCTGCAACCATACCCTATCCAAGGCGTATGTTGCCGAACAACACCTCCCAAACCGGGGCATAAACATTTATACATGTACAAGGTCCTCTCAAAGGACAATCTCACGAATCTCAATCCCGAATCAAAAACCACATACACACACACACACACATATATATATATATATATATAATAACACCCACCTCTCACCATCATCATGTACCAGGGGAAACAATCCAACAGGGGATCGTTTGACTAGTCCACATGGCAGAGCAATCCCTCAATTCACCATGTGTCTAGGGAACGAGCCATCCAACTGGGGGACTAACTCTCAGCCCAACAAGTACGGACGAAGAATCAAGACCCGTACGCCTGTAAACAATCCTACGTGCGCAGACTAACCAGTCAAGGGTCTACGGTAACACCCCGTTAAGGTATGCCCGGGTATCAACATATCCACAAATCCATATCCATTTCCATGTATCAGTATCCAAAGGGAGGTACATGTGATGCTGCACATCATGTACTGGGGGAAACAATCCAACAGGGGATTGTTGACTAGCTCACAGTTATCCGGCCCTCAAACATCCATGTGGCTAGGGAACGAGCCGTCCAACTGGGGGACTAACTCTCAGCCAGCACGTACAGCCGATAAAATCAAAGCTTGTACGTCTGAAAACCAATCCTACACGCGCAGACTACCACCCCTCAGGGTCCACGGCAACATCTCATCAAGGATGCCCCGTATTTCTTAATACCACCCCTCATGGTCCACAGCAACATCTCATCAAGGATGCCCCGTATTTCAACATATCCAAACCATATCATAATATTCCCGGCATCCCACAATTCCAGGATCCGTAACCAAGAAAGCCCACACGCTCGAAACACGGCACGTGTGTGAATAGTAACCAGGGAAGGTACGTATGATGGTGGAGTTCGTAACCTTTATCATAACATTATAAAATGATATTTTCTTTCTTAATTCAATTGTTCCAAACCTCTACACCTTTCGGATCTATCACAATTCTAAATCTGATAATAACACATTGAAACATTATCACTCAACAACTCTCAAGGCCTGTCACTAGGGTCATTATAGTCTTCCTAGGAAGGTAACACTACCTAGGAAGTCTCACGGTCAACCCAGGGTCAAACTACCTAGCCTCGGTCAAACGGGCTCCCGGGTCCACGACCTTCAAATTCCAATCCGACAGTTCCTATAGGTCCTACAAGGTCTAGGACACACTTCCTGCAAGTTTGATCCGGATCGGACGGTCAGATCGCTCACGATCGGACGATCGGACGATCGGACGATTACTAAAACCCTAACCCTAGGGTTGGCTTATCCGGAGTATCCGGGACTCCGTTTTACGATCTGTCGAATCCTATACGATCCTAGTAATGCCTAGATCAACATATTATAACATCAGGACCATCCAACGGTCCAAACCTAGCGAACCCAGAAAATACGCAATATGCGATATCTGTTCGGAACCCTAACTGTATCCAAATTGAAATCCGAGCACACCTACGCGCTCGTGACATCGAGAGGATCACATTGGGACAAAAATGCCCCTCAGCTACAGTGCCACATGCGCCCATGCGTGGGTGTCCAAAGCGATAATCCATCGCCGGAAAAACTCCGAATCATGGCTCAAGACTCCTACTCTAGGTATAACACCCTATTTTGAGTCACTTTTGTTCTTGGACGTACCCCAAAATCTGACCGGAAGTGGAATCGCAATCTCAAAACCGGCCGAACCCTAACTCGAAATTCAAGCTACCTACTCTCAAAATTCCTGGAATCCTATCCAATAGGCAGCTAGATCATGAAAAATAGTCGAGAATCCATACCTCATTCGTCCGTTTTGGTGGAGAAATGAGAGAGAACGAAGACTTTGAAAATCTGTCAAAATCTGTCCGAAAACAGCTCGGATTTCTTCAATTTCCGGCCAATACCGGCGGTTCCAGCGGCTGAAATTGGTCGGGATGGGAAAAAGGAGGCAGCCCGGTTCTTTTGGGTTTGATCTCGAAGCCAGCCGTGGCCTGTAACGGCAGTGGTGGCTCCTTGGAGCCACCGGCTGTGTAGAAAAAATGGGAGGGGGCGGGCTGCTTGCGACCAAGAGAGAGAGAGAGAGTTTTCAGATTTTACTAAAAACCCATTTCGAAATATTGACAATTATGCCACTGAGGGTATTTTGATCGTATCTCTCTCGTTACAACTCCGATTCGAGCCCACTACGTGTCTACGGACTCATCTCGCCGTGCTCTACGCAGCAATGCAATCGAAATTCCCTATTTCATTCCCAGTCAAAAGTCAACCTTAAATCTAATAAAATATTATAAGGGCAAAATGGTCCTTTTATCTGAATAAATTAATATTCACCAATTTATTTAGGACCGGGTCCTTACAACCTTCCTCTAGAACAACAAGGACATGTTCGCATGGTAGCCATTTGACATGCCTGGCATTAACTCGAACATCATTTGCCACTGGCTCCATGTCAACCCTGCCAGCAAGCCAGTGGATAAGAAGAGACACAACTTCACTCCTGAGCGAGTAGCTATCATTAAAGTCGAGATCGACAAGCTCCTAGCTGCCAGCTTCACCGAAGAGTTCTCATACTTAGAATGGCTAGCCAACATAGTTCTAGTAGCAAAGAAAGAAAATGGCAAATGGAGAGTTTATGTCAATTACACTGACCTCAACAAAGCATGCCCTAAAGACAACTTCCTATTGCTAAGGATCGACCAGCTCGTAGATTCAATTTCTGGCAATCAGCTGCTCAGCTTCATGGACAACTACATCGACTATAATCAAATCTTGATGCACGAGGATGACAAGGCAAATACCTGTTTCATCATCAAGAGAGGGACCTACTACTACAAGGTCATGCCTTTTAGGCTGAAGAACGTCGGAGCAACCTACTAGAGGCTCGTGAATAAAATCTTGAAGAAGGAAATCAGCAAAACTATGGAGGAAGAACGTCGGAGCAACCTACCAGAGGCTCGTGAATAAAATCTTGAAGAAGCAGATCAGCAAAACTATGGAGGTCTATGTAGACGACATGCTAGTCAAAGCTCCTAAGCATCCATACCACATTAAGAACCTTGTCGAAGCATTCAGCCTACTCCAATAATATCACATGAAGCTTAATCTAAGTAAATGCATGTCCGGTGTCAGGCCGATTCTTGGGATACTTGGACAGACTCCTCTCGAGATCTATTGACAAGTGCATACCATTCATCAAAGCTTTGAAGAAGGGCAAAAAGACAAATGGGACGAGGAGTGCGAAGTATCTTTCCAGAATCTGAAGACTCACCTTACTTCACCTCCCATGCTCCCAAAACCAGTTCTTGGTGAAGACTTGTTCCCATACATGGCAGTGTCTAGCTCGGCCGCTAACTCAGCTATGATTCGAGAAGAACTAAGGGCCCAACATCCAGTATTCTACACGTCAAATGCTCTCCTCAATGCAGAAAGTTGAGAAGCTCATTTCGGCCCTTGTAATTTTTGCGAGAAAGCTGCAACCCTACTACCAAGCTCACCGGATTATCGTCATGATTGACTTTTCTTTAAAATCAATTCTCCACAGTCCTGATGCTTCTTAATGACTTATGAAGTGGGCTATATAACTAAGCCAATACAACCTCCTCTACCGGCCGAAGACTACAATAAAAGACTAGGCTTTAGCAGACTTTGTCTCAGAATTCACTCCATCGGCCGAGGAAGAGAAGCTGGTCAACAAAAACAAGGAAAGTTCGAGAGCAGACAAGACCTCCTCCACCGAATCTGATAAACTTAGAGACATGTAGCAGTTGAGCGTAGATGGAACGAGGCAGAGTACGAGGCATTGCTCGTTGGCTTGTGCTTGGCAAAACACCCAAAGATGATCTTGTTCCTTGACAAAGTCCAAGAGTTATTGAAGGCATTTCTACCTTCGCCATCCAACAGGTGCCCCGAGCAGAGAACGCGCACGCAAACATACTGGCAAGCATAGGATCAACGCTTGATACCCAATTTCGACGCTCCATCCCGATCGAGCACCTTAACCAACCAAGCATACAAGAGGAAGAGCAGCCAGACTTGATGCAGATTGACGAAGATCCTAGATGGCAAGATCTCATCATCGACTACCTGGTGAATGAGAACTTGTCAAAAGACAAATTTGAGGCAAGAAAAATCAAGCAGAAAGATGCGAGATACTACATGAACTCTAGTCCTCATCTGACCTACATCAAGTACCCGTAAACGCTCGAGGTGCTCTACAAAACACGATGGTGAATGTGGGAATCACTTTGGGGGCAAATCGCTTACCCATATGGCTCTCAGCATAAGCTACTTCTGGCCCACCATGTGCTAAGACTCCATGGAGTATCCTCAAATATGTGATCGATGCCAATGCTATAAATCAGTACCTGGCTTGCCAGTCGAGGTGTACTATCCGTAGAACAGTCCATGGTCATTCATGCATTGGCCATTGACTTGGTGGGACTTATGCCACTGGTACTTGCCAAGAAGGATATGATGATCGTTGCCATTGACTACTTCATTAAGTGGATCGAGGTCAAGGCTCTATCATCTACCAAGGAAGCTGACGTCGAACGATTTATTTGGAGGAACATCATCTGCCGATTCAGTTGCCTGCAGTCGATAGTAGCGGTGTCAAACGGGCTGTGCTGGGCTGGTTCGTCCCATTTAAACTCATGTTTTTAACATTTTCGTGCCAGGCCAGGCCGACCTATTTAGTAAAATCATTGATCCCAGCTCAACCCAAAGCCCATGTCCACATTGAAATGGATGAGCTGTGCTGGTGGTCGTGCCATATTCGGGCTTAAGAACCAACCCATTTAATTTGAATGTTTTTCACTTGATTTTTTTGTCCTCTAGATCATTCAAATTATAAACATTAAAAATATAATTAGAGGCAAAAAATGATGAACTATTTGAAAACATTAATCAATCATACATCCAAACAATATGAAAGGGCAAAGGGCAAAAAGTGTCTAACTCCACAAAGTACACTTCAACTTTTCATCTTTAAACAACTTATTATTTTATATGTGAATAAATGTCTTGCTTTGATTATAAGATAAGTGTATATGTCATATGTATTGATTAGATACCAAATCCAATATTTTTAATAATTAATTTGTAAGTTGATATGTTTAATTAATTAAGGATCCAAGTAATTAACCTAAAATGAAAAACATCAAATTAAATATATTAAAAAAAAAAAAAAAAAAAAAAAAAAAAAAAAAAAAAAAAAAAAAACAATAAACATAACTAGACGTCAAATTTTTACATTTTGACTTTGGAGAAGGAAAAAAATGTTAAGTGGGCCATGCTTGAAGCGGGTTTGGACTCGGGCCATGCTTGAAGTGCGCTCGGGTCAACCTCGGCCCGGTCTATTGGACCTCATTTTTTAAGGCTTATTTACTGTATCACCCCCTGATACTTTGGTTAAATCTCACTATACACCCCAAAAGTTAAAATGGCTCACTTAACCCCCTTGACCAAGGTTTGGTGTTCCACTTTTGCCCTTACCGTTATCTCCATTAATAACTCCGTTAATTTTGATGACGTGACATGACTGTTTTAGTCTTTTTACCATAAGTGATTATGTGTGAGATGTAAGCCCCAATTTTTCTATTTAAGTAGACTGAAATATTAATAAAAAAATTAAAATAAAAAAAACTAAATAATGTAATTACTTGTTAATATAAAAAAAATGAAAAAATGAAAAAATGAAAAAAAAATTAATATTAAAAAAAATCTTTTGTTCTCCATCTCTCTCCCTCTATCGTCCCCTCTCCTTCCCCTAACTTCACACCATCAGACCACAACCACCACCCAACCCAAAGCCACCCTCACCACCACCACTCCAACCTGACCCAACATCACCCACCCAGTAACGAACCCTTACCACCCTCCCACCACACAACTTCTCAAGACACCCCCACCTCTCTCTCTGTTCCTCTCTCTTCTCCCATCATCAATTCTAAAATAATCCCAATGATTATATTATAAGATCTTCCGCTCATGATTTTGTGATCATTGATTCATGCACCTTACTTTGAACGGATGCTTTGATTCCTACCTACCATTTTTAATAATTTTCTTATTGCGAATTCAATAGTGTATAAAATTTCTGTGAAGAACATTGTTGATCGGAAATAGCAGCCGGCCAGAAACTACTTATGGGGGAGGCAGCACCCATGCCACGACCGCAACCACAATAATCTTGAGTAAATCAATGTCCGCTTATATACTTAAGAGAATACATTGAAAACTGTAATTTGGTAGAAAATTGCAAGTTCTGCTAGCAATGCTTTCTAAAAGACTACGAGGATTTTACATTTAAATCACTTTTACATATGAATCATGGTCGGTGTTCAACTACAAAAAAGTTCAATCTTGTTGTTAGCCACTGTCCTATCAACTAGTATAGGTAACTGACTAATACTAATACCTCATCTGGAATAATGGGCACAATATTTTTTGGGGATAAAATGTTGGGAGTTTCACTAAAACACCAAAAATGGGGACTGAAATTATAAAAAAACTCAACACCCAAAACACTTTATAAACTCACCCAAAACCCATTATTACACACACTCAAAAGCCAATTATAAACACACCCAAAAAATATACAATTGTTGATTTTGGGGTTGATTTTGGGTGTGTTTCTATGTTTAAATAGTGCTTGAGTTTTTTTATGAATACATGTCTAGGATTGGGTTATATAAATTATAAAATTTTTTTTTTTTTTTTTTTTTTTTTTTTTTTTTTTTTTTAAATTTATTTAGAAAGAAGAAGATAATACACTATCGGGGCTGGGCTAGGGAAGGGGGAAGTTGTGGTTGGAGTGCTGGTGGTGAGGGTGGCTTTGGGTTGGGTGGTGGTTATGGTCTGATGGTGTGAAGTTAGGGGAAGGGGAGGGGACGACAGAGGGAGAGAGATAGAGAAGAAAAGATTTTTTTAATATTAATTTTTTTCCATTTTTGATTTTTTATATATTAACAAGTAATTACATTATTTAATTTTTTAATTTTAATTTTTTTAATTAATATTTTAGTCTACTTAAATAGAAAAAGTGGGGCCTACATCTCACACATCATCACTTACATCTCACACATCATCACTTATGGTAAAAAGATTAAAATAGTCATGCCATGTCATCAAAATTGACGGAGTTATTAATGGAGATAACGGTAGGGGGCAAACTGGAACACCAAACCTTGGTCAAGGGGGTTAAGTGGGTCATTTTAACTTTTGGGGTGTAAAGTGAGATTTGATCAAAGTTTCAGGGGGTACTACAATAAGATTCTTTTTTTTTTTTTTTTTTTTTTTTTTTTTTTTTTTTAAATCTGGTCCGGCCCATTAATATTCGTGCTCATGCCGTGCCTCATTTAAACGGGTTGGGATTGTGTTGTGCTGGGCCGGCCTGTCCCATTTGACACCTTGAGTCGATAGTCACCAACAATAGCACACAATTCGTTGGCAGGCAGATCACCATATTTTTTGCGAAGTATCGTATCAGACAGCACCTGTCAACTCTAATATGTCCGCAAGGTAATGGCCAAGTAGTTGACATCTTACTACAACAAGAAGGATATTGTTCGAGTTGCAGCTTACCAGCTTGGCTCCAAGGAGACGATCGAGTCTCCCATACCTCAATTGAAGACAAGTTACTTTTGATGTTATCCATGTTGTTCATTTCTTTTATTCAATAGTTTGGGCCTAAGAATTCCACGCGCCAGCCCATTTTCACAAAGAAGCCCACAAAATAGAAAAAACCAGAAGGATGAGCCTTGACTCCAGAAACCAACCCAAATCAACATTAGAGGCCCATGTCTTTTGCAAAGAGTGGCAGAGGTTTAAAAAACACAAATAAATAAATCAATCAAATTACCAATTAAATAGTAATTCGTCACCAAGCAGGTCAATAAACTTATAAGAAATTGGATTAGGCTCAGCTTCTAAAGAATTCTCACCACTTGATCTCAAAAGCAAGTTAGCAGATCTTTTCTTTCTAAAAATGGTTGTTTCAGAAGAGCCCCATGTGACTACCTGACTTTGAAAAATTCAAAATTTTCAACTATTACAGGGGAGTTAACAAAGAGTTAATGAAGGCAGGTATAAAAGGAAGACTTCTCTAAATCTTTGCAGCTAAAAGATCAAAACCCTACATTTTCTAAGGGATAAGCAGACTACATTTTCTAAAGAGATAAGTAGGGAGCATGAAGTTGTTCATCAAGAAAAACGAACTAACCATCATGACAGATTGCATTCTTACAAAGGGCGGTTAAAGAGTAAGAAGGGATTATGTTTTATTTCAGGAAAAGCAGGGAAATGATCACCATAAGAACTGACTGTTGATAGCTTTTTGCCAGAATAGATAACTTCCCCTTTTTATGACATTTTAAAAAGAAAGATCTTTTGAAAATATTTGCTGCCCATTATTTAAAGATTAAAAACCCCCACTCCATCATTTTCTATAAATATGAGAGGAGGTGAACATATCAAACGAGATCAATGATTTACTACAGCTTCATCAGCCCTATACTTTTCAACTGTTTCTACATCCACAACAATGATCTACTCACTTTGAGCAAGGGGTATGTTAAGGTAGAGTAACTCAGCATCTTCATCTTCATGGGGCAACAGGGAGAGGCGTTGTTCCTGCAGTCCAAGTACCTCAGCTTGTATGCGTTAGCAACAATCTCATGCTTGGATGCCTCCATGGCTTCAACATGGGCGTCAAACGAACAACATACTCATGTTCGAGGTGAAAGTAGGCCTGTAGGCCTCCTTGCGGTCGAGCAGGGTAGTGACAAGTGACTTGAGCTCACCATCTTTTTAGCCAAGAGAACTCTTCAGCGCAGACATACCTGTTGAGTTGTATTCTAGCTAGTTTTCTTTTAGCTTTCCTTGCCAACTTTGTAATAGAATATGTAATGTAATTTCTCAAGCTCAAGGTTATTAGACTAGGTTACATATGTATCTAGTTGTTTTCCTTTGACAGTGTTCATTTATGGCTCAACATAATCAAGGGTTGCCAAAGTTAAATTTTGCATTACATTAATTAGAATGCATTAGGTTATGACTAGTCAAATTGTTTGTGTTTTGACTAGTCATCTTTTGTGCATCATGAGGTTTGCGAGCTCATTTCGTTTTCCAACTGGGTCCTAACAAATTTTGTCTTATTCTATGATGTTCTTCTACTTTTGTCTATTTCAAACCTAGGTGTTTTGGGCAAATGACCCTTTCATTTCTTTTGTAGCCGTCACTTCAACAAAGGGGTTTTTGAGAGGTTGTGAGTTTCTCCTTCTTTAGTCTCCTCTTCTTTGGAGTAATTTCTCTATCTTTTCATTAAATGAATTTTTCAACTTGATTTTGAAAACTACCTTGAAAGATGAAATCTGCATCTAGCTAAATCAAACGCACTCTCTTATAGATCTATGTCAGATTCTAAATTGATTTCTTCAAGAGTATGGTTTCTTGAAGGAATTGATCATTTCATTTGGAACCCAAATTTCCGGTTCTTATTTGGAGATTGAGTTGTGTAAACTAGTGCTATGTGATGAACGAGCTGAGGAGGAAGCTGCCATTGCTATAAAGAACTAGCTGCAAGCTTTGCTAAGTTTGGAAAAGAAGATTGCATGGAGGAGGTATAACTCATTTCCTAATTAGATCTAGGTTTCCTTGAGCTTGCTTGTGATTTCTCTATAAAAATCTTCTTTGCTTTGTGGATTGCCTGTTTGGATGATGACTCCCAGTTTTTCCCAATGGTAGGTTTCTGGGTTAACAATTTTTTTGGGTTTTTTGTTCATGCTTTTCTGGTGTTGTGTTTGTGCTGTTGACTAGTCATCATTTGAATGTTGCTACATATATATGATCTTGATGTTAGCACAGGGGATGCTTAGATTGACGGGTCTTTCTGAGTGTCTAAGTTGTCACTAGTGATCTTCTAGGCTTGCAGGTATTGATTGTTTCGTCTGTGTGTGTGGTTGCTGCTAGTTTATAACTAATAGTTCACTAGTCATATTGATCTCTAGTTAAGTTAAGATTTGTGTAGTTGGTAAGTATTTAAAGTATCCTTTAAATTACCCCTCTTCACCTAAGTACCAATTTCAATTGGTATCAGAACTCCAGCTCTTAACGCCAATAGAGAGATCCTAGGAGGATAGTTGGTGTTTAGGTGGTGTTACCATGGAAAGGGACAGAGTTGCTGGTGATTGCAATCCCCCTCCATACTTTGATGGGAATAATTATGCTACTTGGAGAGGAAATTTTGACATAGTCCTGGATGTTCTTGATGAGCGTGCATATGAATATCTCACAAAAGAATGGACTCATCCAGTCAAAACTGTTGATGGTCAATCTGTACCAAAACCAAGATCTGAATTGTCAAAACCTGAGTATCTTGCTGCCAATGCCAACAAGAAGGCAAAAAATGCTTTAGTTATAGCCATGTCTAGCACCTAGTTCTCTCACATTCAACATATTCCAACTGCCAAACAGGCTTGGGATAAACTGAGAGTTGTCCATAAAGGGGATGATTAAGTTAGATCACTCAAACTTCAAATGGTGCTTGCACAATTTGAAGAGCTTAGAATGTCAAAAGCTGAGACCATCTCTGATTTTTATGAGAAGGTTGAAATGATCACAAATGAAGCCATGAGTCTTGGCCAACCCATTGAAGAACTCCTTGTAGTTCATAAAATTCTTTGTGTCATTCCTTCTAGGTTTAGACTAAAGAAAACAACAATCATGAAAGTCCAAAATCTAAATCGGATAAAACTTCGTAAGCTTGTGGGTAATAACCTATGAGATGGAGTCGAATATGGAGGAAAATGACACCAAAAAAATTAAAAGGAGTTGCACTTTAAGGAGTGCATGAATCTTTACTGAAAAATGGTGAAAAATCCTCTGCTTTTGAGGATGAGATGGCCTTGTTCGTTGAAAAGTGTAGAATAATTCTCAAGGACAAAGGGAAGTTTGCTAGAAAGGACAGTTCAACAAGTGAGAGAAAATTTAGACCATCAACTGATCGGTCTAATGAGTGAAACAAGTTTGACAAGTTTTTCAAGAATGTCGCTAGAGATCCTAAGAACTCAATCAAATGCTTCACATGTGGAGGCATTGGGCATTATGTTGACTGACTGTGCAAATAATCAGAAAAGATACTCCAAAGGAAAGGACAAAGCTATGAAAGTAAGCTGGAGCGAGAGTGATGTGTCACAAGAGGACACATCCTCATATGAAGAATATAATGACCAATAGATTACATTTGTAGCATCTTTGCATGTTCATTATGATGAATCTGGCTATGATCCAAATGACTAGTCATATGATTCCATAGGAAGAAAATACGATTGTTTGTTCAAAGAGACCTTCTCTTTGAAAGAGGAAAATCTCAAACTTGAAGTCAATTACAATGAACTTCAACATGCAGTTCTCACTCTTAAAGAGACCAAAAAGGAGTTGAGTGATAAAATTGAGTCTCTAGAAAATGAATGTGATGAGTTTGTGTCAATTAGGAGAAATCTTGAAAATCAAGCTAATGTGCTCAATGAGAGTAATATTTGCTTCCAAAACTCAAACAAACATTTCTTGGGTGAGTTGAATGAGGCAAAATGTAAGATTATCTCCTTGACTATTGGTGCTTCAAAAATTGATAAAATGTTGAATATGGGAAAAATTCATGGTGATAAAGGGGGTCTTGGATATAATCCAATTGGATCTAGTGTGTCTAGCTCAACTACCAAGTTTGTCAAGTCTACTATTCCAGTCATATCCCATGATACATAGTATGCAGTCAAGAAGTTGAAGTTTGTTCCAATCTATCACAAGTGTGGGTTGATTGGTCATATTCGATCTGTTTGTCATATTAACAAAAGAGATCAAAACAAGAAGTTGTCTTCCAAGTCTAGACGAAATCCCAGATCACTGCAACTTCAGGTTTATCATTTACTTAAGGAAGTCACTAAAATTGCCAAACTTGTTTCCTCTTCTATGAAGTCATCCATCATGTGTAAACCAACTTGGATTGTAAATGGTCAAACCAAAAGTCTTGTTGTTCTAAATGCTTTTGCTGCATCAAATACCAAAATTTGGTACTTTGATAGTGGTTTCTCTAAGCACATGTTTGGCGACAAAAGTGTCTTTTCATCTCTAGTTTCTATTGACGGAGGCTTTGTGACTTTTGGTGGAGGTCACAAGGCACAAGTAGTGGGGAAAGGTACTGTTTGTATCCCTAGATTACCTCAGCTTAAGAATGTTAGATATATTGAGAGTCTCACATCTAATCTCATTAATGTGAGTCAGCTGTGTGATGATGGAGTTGTGGAAGTTAGATTTTCTAAGTGTGTTGCAAAATCATTGGAAAAGGTGGAAATGAGATTGTGAGTGTGGAGAGGTCAATTGACAATTGATATTTCATTGATGGGGTTCATGATGCAAAAGAAATGGTTTACAATAAGGTAGTGAATGAAACAAATGCTTTGTGGCATCAAAGACTTGGTCATATGAACTTTAGAGACTTGTACAAATTGTCCAAGAAAGAGTTAGTAAGTGGTCTCCCAAAGGTTGACAAAATTGATCAACATGTTTGTGAAGGATGTCAATTAGGCAAGCAAGTCAAAGTGTCACACAAAAAGGTCAAACACATTCAAACAAAGGTTAGTCTAGAACTTATTCACATGGATCTTGTTGGCCCCATTCAAACCTCGTCCTTTGGTGGCGAGAAATATATTTTGGCTATTGTTGCTGATTTCTCTAGGTTCACTTAGGTCTCATTCTTACATGAGAAATTAGAAACGTTTCAAAAGTTCAAAATTGTGTGTCACCTTCTACAGAAGGAGAAGATGACTAGTCAACTGCATATTGTTAGGATTAGAACAGATCATGGGCCTAAATTTGAGAACTCTTAGTTTCAGAAGTTCTATGAGAAATGGGGATTAAGCATGAGTACGTTGCACCAATTACACCTCAGTACAACGGTGCTGTGGAGAGGAAGAATAGAGTCATTGTTGAAATGGCTAGAGTAATGCTAAATAGCCAAAATCTTGCTAAACACTTTTGGGCAAAGGCTGTAGATACAGCCTGTTATATCTCCAATAGAGTGTTTTTAAGGTCAGGTACTAAACAAACACCCTATGAGCTTTGGAAAGGAAAGAAACCTAAAGTGTCTTATTTTAGAGTTTTTGGTAGCACATGCTAGATAGGGAGCATTTAGATAAATTTGACTCTAAAAGTGACATGGGAATATTTCCTGGATATTCTACTTCAAGCTATGCCTATAGAGTGTATAATTGTCGGACCAAAACTATCATTGAGTCCATAAATGTCAATGTTGATGATTTTGCTGAATCTACTGAGATGACATTAGATGAGGATGGTATGTTTCCTTCTAGGCTAGAAGATGAATCTCCAAGTTTGGATTAAGTAGTTACCTATCAACTTTTGATAATCAAACTCACAATTCCAGCTTACCAATTCATGTTGACAAGTCAAGTGTTGAAAATAGTCCTCTCACCTAACATGAGAGTGTCATTATTGGCCTTTTAAATTAGGAAGCGAGAACTAGGCATCAGATAGCTAAGGAAATTAGTCATGTGTATGCTATGTCTCAAAGGAAGAACCTAAGAATGTGAAAGAGGCATTGAAACATGGCGAGTGCTTTCTTGAGATGCAAGAAGAGCTAAATCAGTTTATAAGAAATGATGTTTGGTACCTTGTTCCTAGACTAGCCGAAAAAAATGTTATAGGTACTAAGTGCATTTCAACAACAAAACTAATGAGTAAGAGAATATTGTCAGAAACAAGGTTAGGTTAGTTGCTCAAGGCTACACTCAAATGGAAGGAATTGACTTTGATGAAACCTTTGCCCTAGTTGCAAGGTTAGAATAAGTTAGGTTACTCCTTGTTATTGTTTGTCACTTGAAGTTTAAACTATATCAAATAGATGTCAAAACTGCTTTCTTGAAAGACATCTTGAATGAAGAAGTCTATGTTAAGCAACCAAAAGGCTTTGAAGATCCACTTCATCCCAATGATGTGTTTCGATTGAAAAAGGCACTCTATGGGTTGAAACAAGCCCCTAGAGCATGGTATGAGAGGTTATCCTCTCATCTTCTAGGAAATGGATATGTTAGAGAGTCTGTTGACAAAACCTTGTTTGTCAAATTTTATTCATGTCATGACTATTGAATTTGAAATGAGTCTTATAGGTGAGCTTAACTATTTCTTAGGACTTCAAATGAAACAAAGCCTTGATGGGATCTTTGTATCCCAATCAAAATATGCAAAAAATTAGTTGAAAAAATTTGGTTTGAAGACTGCAAAATCTGCAAGAACTCCAATGAGCACTAGTGCTAAAATTCATAAAGACATTCATGGGAAAAGTATTGATCAAACTCTCTATAGAAGCACGATAGGAAGCCTTCTCTATTTAACTGCAAGTACACCTGGTATTTCTTTTAGTGTAGGAGTTTGTGCTCGGTTTCAAAGTGATCCCAAAGAGTCCCATTTGTTTGTTATCAAGAGGATTATTAAATATGTGTGTGTAACCATTGACTTTGGTTTGTGGTGTAAGAATATTTTATAAATATTCTGTGTGGCCCACATGAAGTGACCTATGTGGTAAATAAATTGTTTAATTGGTTTAATAAATATTATTCAGAATAATTATATTGGTCAAATAAAGAGAAGTAGTTTCCTATTATTACCGTGATGGGTGGTAATTGATTATGGGCTTCACTAGGAAACGGGTCCTCTCTCTGCCTATAATAGTGCACATACCCATCTTATGTGTACACTGATGAAGACACGGATTAGGGTTTTCTAAACGTGCAAAAGGCTAGAGAGAGAAATCTAGTTCCTCCACACTTACGACTCACCTACGGATCGCTCAAGACAAATATCTTGATATGGTAGAAGTCTAATCATTCAAGGTATGTATGTAATTTAAGTCTAATTGAATTTCCGCCTAATGTTATTGTGAAAATCATGAAGTTCAAGATCTTGGGTCATGGATTGGGTTCTTATGGTTTTACCCAATATTAAGCTTACATGTGGTATCAGAGCATGGTTGAGAACTCTCTTGATTTTCCATTATGATTTATAGGGTTTGATCTTTTAATTTGATTGAACCGTAACCATGTTCATGATCTATTGTGATTTCGATTAAATTTCTTTGATAAAATAATTAGTGCATATTTTGACGTTGGGTGACTGTTTAATAATATTATATATTATGAATGGTATCACAATAGACCATTTGTATTCATCTGCACTATAACTAGCAATTGTACATATGAATCAATATATCGGTTTTGTAGTATGCTTATGAATGAGTGTTTATGGATGAATACAAATGGATTCATAGAAACGACAATTATTAAAGGTGCAATATTTGAAGGCAGTAGGCGCATGCTACCTAAGGGTTCTATGATCTGCATATATGGCTGTGTCGAAATCTTTTTATTGTATATTCATTAATGAATTCATACAAAAAGTATGAATTAATTTTTTCACCAAATTCATACTTTGTGTGAATAGGATGATGTATTAAATGTATGACCACTTATGAACTCATGGAATGATCCTGGTGTAGACATGTACAGTGAATTAAAGTTATTTAAAACAAATAAATGTAAGCATATTGTATTTCATTGTCACTGTACATTGTCTTAAGAAGCGAGGCAATCTAAAGGTCTATTGCCCACTACTGTGTTAAAAGGTCATATATTTATCGGTTAATCTAATGATCGGTTAACCATTAAAGTGTATTAATTGATCCTATGTAATCTATTAACTATTACAGCTGTTAATTTAATTTGACATTCATATTATGAATAGTTTGTTAGTCACCAAAGTGGCCAAGCTAGAACGTTCCTTGAATATCAAATTAATTAATCTAATGATCGATTAATCATTAAAGTGTATTAGTTAATCTTATGTAATTGATTAACTAATACAGTTGTTAATTTAATTTGATGTTCATATTATGAATGGTTTGTTAGTCACCAAAGTGGCCAAGCTAGAACGTTCCTTGAATATCAAATTAAATGATAATTAATCAATTACTTGTGATTTAAGGATGCATATAAATGAGGTTGAACCTTATAATGTTTTCAAGGTTCGAACATCATGAGTATATTGATTTTCATCATTCATAAGATATACGGATAACCCAAAGGTGGATTCACTATTCATATGATTGGTGATATAAATGAGGTAACTTGTATATGTTTTATTTAGATTTGTTTTGGATATCCAAAGATATCAAAGCCTTTCTAACTAAGAATATACATTTACCAATAATGTAAAATAAATGCATCATAATTGTTAATTATTGGTACTGTCATAATTTATCCCAAAGGAGAGTTATGATGATACATTTATTGGTGTTCAGACTACACAAGTCTTATATATGTTTGTACGTGTGTATTACTCAAAGCATTAGTATTCTAAGCATATTACAAATTATATTGCAATGTCACTTTTAGGTTCGCTTCATTCTCATGTTTGATCTAGTTTAGATTTAATTTCTCATTTTGTTTTGAACAAGTCCAGCATCACCAAAGTGTTCTGGGTCTTGATTAGGCATTTCAAAATGAGAAACTCATTGCTATTATGATAAAGCACTGAGGATTAAAGACTTCCCATGGAGCTTGTAAAAGATCAAACATATTTAGCTTTATGTTAATGCGAATAAATAGACATTATAATATAAATTAAGGCTATGCTCCATTAATGTGAATATTGCTAAAGAATTCTTGAGAATTGCTAACAAGTCCATTACATGGACAATATTGGCTGACCTTACCATCATGAAATTTGATGATATGCGAAGCATGAATGAGTGCATTATTGAGTAGACTAACTTAGCAGCAAAATGAAGTCTTTTGGATGAAGAAGATAAATCAATTTTGCTTATGAAGAAGGCGAAGCATTTACACAATACGATTCGAAAAGAAAGATAAGTCTTCCGCTTTTATGTGTTTCGAATCAATTTTTTAGATGAATTTTCATATGATGCTTGATGGATTAAATTATGTGCTAAAATTCATGTTTCTAATAGTTCAATGCAAAGTTGCTTTTGATTTCACTTTTTGGAATTATATATTCAATTTAATGGCCATGATTTAGATTTATTGAAAGCATATTATGTTCTTACTGTTTCAAATCTAGTTGAAATTTTGTTTGGAATTTGGCAATAATGTTTTATCCTTTAAAGTTTGGTGATGACTGTTTTAGTCTCTTAAAGAATGCCTATTTTGTTAATTGTGGTATTCTATCAATGATTTACGAAATTAAAGTATGATGACTTTTTTCTTTAAATGTTTTTGATACTTTGCATGATTGATTTAAAAGTGACTGCTATTTGACAAATTGAAATTTAATGTTCTTATGGCATAAATGAATGGTAATGTGTTCAGAGAAAGAACTAAGGGATCAGTAAGGAATGAGGTTCTTCTGAACCTATATTTTATTGATCCCTTATTGGTGTGTAAGTGGATTGTATTAAGGAAAACAATTTAAATACACCAAGAAAGATGCCATAATAAATTTGTAGCTAACTGAAATTATTTATAAAACATGTGTTCACCTTATAATGCTCTGTCCTTTGGTTAGGGGTATATGAAGTAATTTATCATTACGTATACCATTATGGATACATGTTCTTACTACAACTATTATGCTAATTGGGTTCCTATTAAGGCAGTTTCAAATAAGAAATTATTTGAACTACGGAAAGTAAGGAAATCCAATTTAAGGCACCATTATGTTTTGGGTTGCTTAGTGGGAGTAAGAATGTAATGTTCACATGAGAAGGGATTGGACCTTCAGAATGTTTTCTGATAACCTTATTGGTTACCTAGAAAAGTACAAATGGTATAGATTTTATTGTCCTAACCAGGGTATGAGATTATTGAAATCAGTAACGTCAGTTTCATTTTAAATGGTGAAATTAGTGGGAGTGGATAACCAAGAAAATTGGTTTTATATGAAAAGTTAGTGTGCAAATTTTTTGCATGCATACTTCATAGTGAAATTGTTGTTTCTATAGTTGTGAACAGTTTTAACAACAATGAACAACAAATTAATGAGTATTTGCTACTTTAAGTGATTACTTGGTATATCTACAAGAATTTGACTATGAGTGTTAAGAAAGATTTTGATTTTATTTTCACATGTCGTTAAACATATATTGATTCTACTAAATAGATTTATGCCATGAATGATGAGTTGAAATCAATTTGCCATAATGAAATTTGTGATTTCATCGATTTGCCTGCAAAGGATGAGTTGTGTGTAAGAGTGTCTTCATGACTACATACAACTCCAATGGCAATATAGATGGATATAAAGACACACTATTGGCCAACGATCTTACTAAGAAAGATGGCATATGTTATAAAGTGACATTCTCTCTTGTTTCTATGAATGACTCACTTGGAATCATATAGTGGTATTCGTAACTCATTACGATTTAGAGTTACACTATATGGATGTGAAAGATAAAATATTAGATAAGTGTTTAATAGAGAAGTCTACATGAATGAACCTGAAGACTTTTCTTTTATTGAAAGAAACACATGCTTTGTAAACTGAAGAATTCACTGTATAAAATTAAAATTTAGCAATTATTATGGTATGCAAAGTTTAATAATAGCATAATATTTTTAATTTTTAATTTTTAATGAAAGCACTATTAATTGTTGTATGTATCTCAAGGTCAGTGGGAGTAAGTCTATATTTCTCACTTTGGATATTTATGCTATTTTGCTTGCCATATATTGGTCTTGGTTTTCATTGTTGAAACCATTAAGCTTTTTTGTAAGAACCTTGAATGAAATATATGGATGAGACAATTTTTGTGATTGGAATTGAAATATTCTAGAATGGATCACATGAATTGTTAAGTTTGTCTCATTAAGCATATATTGTAAGTGTTCTAAAGAGACATGATATGGAATAATGTTTATCCATTAATGCTGCTTCAATTCAGGAAGGGGACAAGTTTAGCATTATGCAATGCCCATAAGAGTGAATTGGAACATTAACAGTACAATGAGAATTCATTATGCATATATGGTTTGCTTTGAGGCCATAGTTGATGAATTGAAGTTGCGGGTTTTAATCTTAGGACTTGGTGTTTATGTTTTATTGCCACGCCGCTAAGAATTTATGTTGATACCGCAATTGTCCTTTTCTCCAAGAATGACAAGTGTTCTAAGAGTGCTAAACATAGTGGAATTAAATACCTTGTCATTAAGGAGGTTCAGAAACAAAGAGTGTCTATAAAGACAAAACTTATGCTTGCAAACCAAGTAAAAGGTTCTAGCCAAGACATTAATAGTTATATTCAGAGGACTGTTCTTGGTTATAAACCATGATAGTATTTATGAAGTTGTGGTTTGCATAATGACAATTTATTTATTTTGACACTCTGAGCTCAATAATTGAATATGTTTCTGTTATATCTTGTTTTCCCTTATATGTATACATGAATGAGATTGGATGAATGATAATAGGAGTAGTCTCTGACAAAGACATTATTGGACCTTTTATGATACTTCTCACTTATGGACTGTTTAAGGCGATTTGCTAATGTTGTGGTACATGGAAGGGACTATATCGCTTATTGATGCATAACCGCCATGACTCGCATTAGACATTTGCTTAAATGTTGTATTTATGTCGACCATATGAAAGTGAGGATTATTCTGAATGTATCTCGCGCGCCTAATGTTTATTTATTGAACCATAAAGTAAATTTATCATATGGGCCAAGTGGGAGAATGTAAGAATATTTTATAAATATTATGTGTGGCCCACATGAAGTGACCTATGTGGTAAATAAATTGTTTAATTGGTTTAATAAATATTATTCAGAATAATTATATTGGTCAAATAAAGAGAAGTAGTTTCCTATTATTACCGTGATGGGTGGTAATTGATTATGGGCTTCACTAGGAAACGGGTCCTCTCTCTGCCTATAATAGTGCACATACCCATCTTATGTGTACACTGATGAAGACACGGATTAGGGTTTTCTAAACGTGCAAAAGGCTAGAGAGAGAAATCTATTTCCTCCACACTGACGACTCGCCTACGGATCGCTCAAGACAAATATCTTGATATGGTAGAAGACTAATCATTCAAGGTATGTATGTAATTTAAGTCTAATTGAATTTCCGCCTAATGTTATTGTGAAAATCATGAAGTTCAAGATCTTGGGTCATGGATCGGGTTCTTATGGTTTTACTCAATATTAAGCTTACATGTGGTATACCTATGATACTAATGTCAATCTCGTTGGATTTAGTGATGTTGATTGGGTTGGATGTAGTGATGATAGGAATAGTACTTCTGGAGGAGTCTTTTATGTTGGCAACAATCTTGTTGCTTGGCATATCAAGAAACAAAACTCTATTTCATTATCCATTGTTGAAGCCGAATATGTAGCAGTTGGGAGTTGCTGCACACAACTCCTCAAGATGAAACATATGTTGAAAGACTATGGTGTTGCTCAATCATCCTTCCTAGTCTACTATGACAACATGAGTGCAATTGATATTTCCAAAAATCTTGTTCGACACTCAAGAATCTTGTGGAAAATAAAATTTAACCTTGGAATTTATCCCCTCTGAAAAACAACTAGCAAATATATTCACCAAGGCTTTGGACTTTCAGAAACATGTCACATTAAGACAATTCATTGGCCTTTCTTCAATTTTTTTTTCTCTCGACTAGTTATCCCACCTATAATTGACTAGTCAACTCTGCTAAATAATCATTGATATGCAAATGTCTAACACTTGTATCTCAATCATTTCTGATGTTGTGAAATTTGGATACCTTCATGTTTTGGTTGACTTGTGCATAATCCCTATTATGTTGAGAGCTGTTAGGTGTGGCTTAAGTGGTGCTATACTATCTTCTTGGTGAGTCAAGTATTTTTCATTCACTTTGGACATTCATTGCTATAGTTGCTTATCTTATCTCACTCTCTTAAACAATTTTCTTTTTAAAAAAGGGAAGTGTGACTAATGTAATCATGGCTCTAGGAAGGTATAAGGTGATATGATTGCAAAATCTGGAGCAAAGAGCCGCAAAATTGGGCCACTTAAGCACTTAAGTCTGGGACGTGCAAGTTAAATAATAATAATAATAATAACCAAATAAAAAATGCTGTCACAAGGGTGTGCTGAGATTTGCAAACACAAGTTTTGAGCCTATGCCTTGATTTTGTCATGAAGTTTCATTTCTATCCTTGTCTCTCCAAAGTGATAGTATATCATCTCTTGTGTATCCTTGGCTTTGACCCTCCCTATTCCTAAATATGCACTGTCTCTGAGCATGAAATATGTTCATATTCTATCTCTCAGATTGGATTGTCTATGTGGTTTTTGATTTGCATATGTTCTTACATTTTTCTTCCTACGCTGGAGTACATTGACTAGACTTAGGTTGCTGGCCATTCTTGATCACTTGAGATATTTGCTAGTACTTAATTCTTTTGATCTCAACAAATTACTTGTCTTGATCTATAGTCAAATGCTGCTCATTGTTATTCTTGTTATGTTTGACTTGTCACTGTATGCATATGTTGATGGTTAATTAGTCATCTTGTTCTTGACTCTTTTATTTTTTGTTTGCTTTGAGTTTTGCGCTTTTGTAAAAAAAATAAAAAAATTCAGAAAACCCAAATAGTTTTTAAGGACCACATATCTTCCTTTTTGTCTCTATCTCCTTTATTCTTTTTCAGGTTTTGTTATGTTTTTCTTTCTCCTTCTTGTTGCCTTCTCTTGTCTCTTCATGTCTTTGTTTTTTCTTTTCCCCTTTCGATTGTTTTGTGTCATGTCTTCCTCTTAGCCTCTCATCACTTATAGTCGTCACTTGAAGTCTACTCATTGTGGTATGGATGCCATACCTGCTATTCCTAGGGTTCCTAGGTCTCAACCCAATCCCTCTGTCTCTATGACCACTAACTCTCTGTTTGTGTCGCCTGAGGCTGCAACTTTCTATCAAGAAGTTGTTTCCAAGAGGAAGTTTGTCGTTGAGAGATCTTACACTTTAGATGCTCTCCCTACAAAGGCTTGGTGTGATACATCCCAACTGTTCACACACTACAAACTTCACACCCTCAATGTCCTTTCACGTAAGTTCAATGCCTCTGCTATTAAGGAATTTTATTCAAATCTTCCTGTTGATCCTCAAGTCACAAACTTTTGTGTCTTTGTTCGAAATGTGCCACTCATTATTCGCCCATCTCTTATTAATCGAACCCTAGGTTTTAGGTCTTATCCTGGTCTTGATTATGCTCAGTTCTCTGTGGCACTGTCACAATATACGATTGCCTCATTTAGAACAGTGGCCTCTCCATTCTTCTTACTCCCAAGGTTCTACCCATCAAGTCTTATTTGAATCCATTTTTCAGGTTTTTGTGGGATTTTGTGTTCCATAACCTCCTTCCAACCGCTAACGATTACAATTCGACCCTGGCAGGTTGTTAGCTCATGTTGTCAATGGTTAATCATGATAAGATTCCTTTTGGGGATATTATTTATCATGCCATTTTGGGGAAATTCATTGGTTATGGTACAAGACATGAGGGCACACTTGTATTCCCTTATTTACTTCATCTTCTTTGTGAGAAAAGTCAGGTTCCTTCCACTGCCTCTGATCTCTGGCAGCCTTCACTTGTTCCCTATGGCAAAGCCTCCATTGCTATGAGCCAAAAAGTCCCCAAGACCCTTCTCACCACTGTCTCCTCTATTCCTTCATCTTCTGAGTCTGATGAACTCAGAAAATAGCTTACTGCTAAAGAGCAGCAGATCTAGCATATACTGAGCTTGATTCCTTCTTCCTCTGCTCCTGGTCTGGACACAGGTCATTGCCCTGTTGCTGCTACGCTGAGTCCATTGAAGGAGACGTGTGTCTTAGACTCTGATGACATTGGCTCGGACATACCTCCAGGTGATTTTGAAGGCTCTTTAGTGTTTTAGGTAGTTTCCACTACTTATTTGGAAAGGCAGTTTAGCTTAAGTGGGAGTCTATTTTGGCCTAGATTAGTGGATGTCTATTTTGTAATTTCCTGGGGAAGTACATTTTGTAATATGATAGTTGAATACTCATTGGAGCTTTCTTATTGACATCCTTGTAGTTTGATAGAAGGAGCTTTCTTTTGATTGTACTTAACTGAACATATGCTTTGCAATTCTCAAATGATATATGCCTTCCTGTTTCTATTTCAGTTTCCTATTTTTATGCTTATGATTCTCTTTTTGTCTTATCAACAAGGGGGAGAACAATCTCAAACCCACTTGTCCTTGTTCAAATTATGTGATGATATACTTGTTCTGTGCTTGGAGGATCATCTTTTTTTGCAGGTTCTTATATGATCATCTTCACTATGGGTTAGGTTGTAAGTTGAGTGAATTGTGTGTGTGTTGTTGTCAAGGAAAGCCAAAAAGGGGGAGATTGTTGAGTTGTATTCTAGCCAGTATTCTTTTAGCTTTCCTTGCCGACTTCGTAATAGGATATGTAATGTAATTTCTCAAGCTCAAGGTTATTAGACTAGGTTACATCTATATCTAGTTGTTTTTTACAGGACTCGACCCAAATTCCACTTTAGTATCCGAGCCGAACCCTGTGCGTGTCCGACATCTGGCGAATGCCGAGCATAAATGCCCAAATTGCCCTTTTAACTAGAAACCAAATTTTACTATTAGTTAGACTGCTACCGAAAATTCGGCAGAGTCTCCCCTGTAACTTGCTTGTTTCCCAAAAGTTTCCACTTGTCAACAAACATTTATATATCCCCATCATTCAGCATGCATTAAATTATATCCAAGCAATCAAGCATCATATCATTTTGGCCTCAAGCCTTAACAAATCAAATAAATCATTCTACTAATAAAATTCATCTCAACTTTTAGAACATCAATAGTACATTAGCAATCTCAAACACTCCAACTCGTGGTTGCTTCTTGTAACTTTAGGTTGCCTACGTACCCCTACTGAGGGATCAAGCCACACGTAGTTCTTTCCCTTTAATAATGCAATTGAATATCTCATTCATTCATCATATTGCCATGTGTTTTACAAATCAAACTGAATTCTCATGTGCATGATGTACTCAATCATATTCACAACTCTAAAACAATACTTTGCACCTTCCCAATACTCGTAACAGTCATATACTGATTGTAGATAAGCCATACACCGAACTCCCTCTATTTTAGTTTAAGAACATCTCAAAATCAAAATTCTCTCCACCTAGGCATACCCCCATTCCTGATCCGTCAATTTCATTAATACAGTCATTCCATCCTCGCAGGCCTCAGACACACCAAGTCTACTCGAGCCGCAACCCTTGTAGGCCTCGGAGATACCAAGTCTATCCGAGCCGCAATTCTCACAGGCCTCAGGGGACCATTGGTCAGTCTGAGTCACATTCCTCGCACCACAAAGTTCAGATGTCCTCGAAACACGTGGGGCATTATTTATAAATGACACTATTTCAAAGCAACTAGAGGGTACCCTTGTGGTGGGTTTGAAAAACCATATCCCAAACTTATATCAATACTTCCCCTTTATTTTAGAATCCATTTTCCGACCTTTATATCAACTTTCTAATAAATAGATTATCAACTATACTTAATATATATATGCCATAATTTAGCAATCTATAAATAACTATCTATACTTAATCTGTAACATGACTCAGATAATTCATTCTCGGTCAGGGGGAGGGGTTTTAGCGCAGAGGGAGGAGGGCTCGGGAGAGAGAGAGAGAGAGAGAGAGAGAGAGAGAGATTAAAAAATCTTACTTTTGAAAATTACGATTTTGCCCCTCATCGTATTTTGATCGTATTTTCTTCGATAATACTCAAATTTGAGTCCATCACATGTCTACGGACTCATTTCGTCGCGCTCTACACAACGATACAACTGAAATTTCCAAATTCCTTCCCGGTCAAAAAGTCAACTTTTAAACCATTAAAATATTCTAGGGGCATAATGGTCTCTTACCAGAATAAATTAATAATTAAAATTTGATTTAGGATCGGGTTGTTTCAATCTACCCCCTTATAAAATTTCGTCCTCAAAATTTCCTACATTTCACTTGAAGGTGTATGGATACTGGGCCCGCATCTACTACTCGGGTTCCCAAGTAATCTCCTCCACAACTTGTTATGTCGGGAACTTAACTTCCCACGTTTCTCGAACCCCCACAAGATGAAGCTTCGATCCAAGGGTCACCCAACTTCAAAACATTCCAAAAACTGGCCTTTAAAACATGTATATCACCAAAATGCAAACTTAAATGTCGGGACTCTAGTACCTTTCCTGACATTTGTTCGTTGTTAAGGACTCTAGTCCCCCGATCAAATCTTGATGAAATCAAATTCGGAACCTGTTGCGTTCAGAAACAAAGGGGCCAAGCAACTAATCGGCATGAGGAAAATTTTAAATTATGCAATCAAAGAGTAATTTAATTAGAGAAGGGTGTTCGCTCATGCTGTGAACCCCCACCTTATGCAATACTACTCATCCCCTTGCATCTAATTATTTCACATAACTCAAAGCTTTTGAATACTTCAGCATCAAAGACCCTCTGGAGTCAAGAAAAGTCACAACCAGATTTACAGCCAAGCCATAGCTCTGACTAAACGAACAGAGAAGGAGAAATCTCCTTCTCCAACTAAGAATATCCTCTAATAGAATGCTTAGTCTTCCTCCGAAAACTAAACGCTTCCATTTGTGATTGATTCTCTCTGGCTCTTCCACTAAGGGAAGTCAGAATTCTTGGACTTGCTAATATTTCCCATCTTTCTTTAGAATTGACAAACGGTATTACCAATTTGATTATTCGAGAGGAATACCAGAAAGGATCATCTTTACCGAATTGTAATCATCATCCATCTCACCATGGTTATAAGCAACTTTAAATGTATAGTTAATGATACAATCCATCTTCCCGCACTTGGATTTGTAAACTTCTTGAAGCTAAGCCTCAAGCTCCTTGAGTGAATCACGACACCCATCACCCCTAATACCACAGACGATACATTCCACCCCAATTAAGTTGAGGGCTCAATAGTCTTACCTCTTCCAACTTAAATATGTGCACTCTACTAATCTGTACTCAGTCATATGGAACTTTGTCCCATTAAACTATCATTGTCATTTAGACATTGCCTGGCTAATCATGATACACTTGTCATCCTCTGGATAGCGATCTCCGCTACCTTTGGTCAAACTCACAACACCTTCTAGTCTTAACTTACTACGATTCAACCAAACCATTTCCTGAACACACATTGAAATTTTCCTTACAAATTTAATTTCCGAGCTCGAACCAAACAAACCTAGCAGATCAATAGTAAGACCATTCCAAGACCACATGAATTTCCTTGAGGTCTTGTCGACTCACTAGCAAACACTCGTTGCCCCCAAAATCATTATTTCTTAATTAAGTTAACCACCAATCCTACTTAACTCAAACAACCTTAACAACTCAGAACATAAAGTTCACCACGTGCCATAGAAGCCAAGCTCACAAAGCGTTCCTAAAATGTCTCACGTCGTCACCCACAACCAATGTGACCTCTTATTGGTTCAACCTGAACCACACGCATTCATATCTATACTTAGATAACCATTCACACTTATTCAAAACATCCTTCCGCTGAAGACATTAAAAACAAAATTTAGTCTACCACCCTAGGCGTACCCATTTTATTTCCATCAATTCCTTTATTTTCGTATAATCCCACAAATAACCGTCAATTTCCTTGTGTCACATTTGTGACACGTCCTTGCAGGTCTCGGTTACATAAAGTCGACCCGAGCCACAATCCTCGTAGGATTCAGGGGACATTTAGTTAGCTTGATCCGCATTTCCTCGCTCCGCACGGTCCGGGTATTCTAGGACTCGTGGGACAACTGTCCTGTCAGGTTTTGGCTGGGAGGCCCTTTATAGACACTCGAGGTGCTACATCTGCTCAGGTCGGGATAAGATTAACCCAGCCCCCTATGGCCACGTGATGTTCTCTAATAGGCTTGGCTTACAGTGAGCGTATGAGCCATTAACATAAGGTAACCAAAATATTCAACAATATGCAAGACAATTTCAGAGACGTATGAAATGACTCTAGAAGCACAATCCACACACATATGAGCAACCTTGAGGCCAAAGGATGCGTCAAGCTAGCATTCACCAACTAGCAACAATTACATGAACACTCAATGCAGTTATGCATTTCAACAAACAAATAATGCGGCAGAATGGATACAAATGAAGAACTGAGATAAAGTAACACAAAATCACACAATCAGTTGGTGACCTGGAAACCTAACAATGGGTGAAAACTGGGGAACCCTCGTTCCGGTCAGGGAGACTGCTTCACTAGATCAAGAATGTGCTCAATACAAGTACCACACGAGATCAATCAAGAGACTCAACTTATCATTCTATAATCTTAATAATATCAAGTTTACGATGTAACATGTCCAAAAAACAAATGAAAACCATGTCTATAGCCATTTGTCCCCTAATCACTAAGACTTCTGTTGGCTAAAAACTGAACCAACATTGGCGGATCTGCAAGTGTGCTTAGCTCAACAATGCCTACAATTGGTCCACAATGTTTATCACTCCATTTGCACGAGGAGGGGAAAAATCTAAAAGCGTTTTGTCTTTAAGGTGTAGTTGGGGTTTAATTTTGAGAACATTTGGGTTTATTCAAAGTACTTATAAAAACCAACATTTATGAAACTATAAGCTAAACTTTGGTTATAAACACAATTCAAGCTAAACGTTGGCTATAAAAAATTCAGGATGAAAGAACATTTTGGCTGGTAAAAATCCTTATGACACAACCCATATTTTCAGTGTATCTTAGAAAACTCAACTTCGAATAGCTAAACAGCGAACCCAAGATATCGCAGCGACATTGGAAACCTGGCGCAGATAGTTGCGAGCTTACAAAGGAAGAATTTTTTTTTGGTTCATTTTGAGATCTTGCAGAAATTAATATAGTTGACTTGAGGATCAAGAAATGTATGTATCCAAATCCAGAATATCCGAACAAGACTTTGATAAGAAATAAGAGAATATCTATTTACTAGCTATGTATTGAAAATGAAATTATCCCTCAATGGCAGCGACTGACGAGGTCTCTTTTACAAAAATCTATAAACGTGTCTGAGAAGCGACTAATCAACCATTACACAACCCCATCTCATCTTGCTATCTAAACTGAACAGAAAACAGGAAGCAAACATGGGAAAAATGAGTCACCAAACTATACCTGTACTGTATACATTCACTAGTTCAAGAATCTTTCTTTATTTACTGTCAAAGTTACATTTAACTGATGATGAAGGCCATTGCCATGCCCACCCAAAGAGGAAGCTCTCTATAAATATGTAGTAAAAGCTCAAGAGGGGCTTTGATCAATGGTTGAAGATACACACTGATTTAGGGAAAAGTCCTCCCCAACCACACGCTGGGAGAAGGAAGTATATAGCCAACAAAATCCGGCCACCGAACCTTGTTGAAACCTTTTCAAAAGCTAACCTCACTGGATGCCTATACAGAGTCAATTTTCACCAGTTTCCAGCTTTCACAACCAGATGATGGGGAGAATTGCCCAATTCATCTCTGGAATGATGAAAACTCGTTCATCCAACTATTTTCCTAGTTGTAGATTTTTACTGGCTTTTCAAATGTGTGGCGATTCTGCAAAAAGGTGTAAAATTGGCCAAGTAATGTCAACAGGCAAGCCTATCCAAGAATATATCTGATCAAATATATAACCTAGCAGCTTCGATGTCTTCTTATTATAAAATAAAAATAAACATTAATAAATAAAAAAGTACAAAAGGAAGCATGTATTCCAGATTAATGTGAGCAAGCTGCATGTTTCCTAACATCTCAGCCTAAGAGTACTCACTAAAAGCCAAAATATGTGACAACATTAACTCGAAAAAAAAATTCAAATATTCTGGGAAAGAACAAACAAAAATACTTCATCTTACCTGATTAGCTGCATACGCTCTTTTAGGAGCACTGTCAGAGTGTTCCAGCCCAAGATATTGCTCCCACGCACCGTAAACATCTCTTCTCTATACGCAGATTATGAACAACAAAATGAAAATATAATTTGAAATTTGAAACAGAAATATCATAGTAACATATCTCTAGTTTACACACCTGAAACCGACTAGACACAATGTCAGAGTCCTGGAGATATTCTGGGCGACCTAGGGAAAGAAACGCAAACTTCCACTGGCAAAAAGGAAAACATAAATTTAATGTTTCATCAGTACAATGTAACAGTAGGAGGAAAGGTTTAATACAACAATTCCATTTCTTTATTTAAAACCAAACGAGAATGTCCATCTTTCTAACAAAATCAGGAAAGGGAATGATGATAATAAGAACATAGATTATACCTTGGCAAACTCCTCATCCACAACCTGTAATTTCTTTTGTACTCGAGCTTTAATTTCAGCCAAAGTTTCACCTTCATGTATGACCAAGAAAAAAGGTTCCCCAAAGTTTTGAATTTGCTGGGGAAGAATAGATAAATTTGAGCATATGAGATTATGAATCATCGCACATTGTTCAGTTTGAAAGGCAAATATCAGGAGGGGGAAAAAAGAATCAGTGAAGCTGTGAAGCGAAAAAGTTAGTCGCAATCACCATTTGGTTCTGAGCTGTGTCTTTAGTGAAATGGTAGACATGAATTACACGATCATTAGGACCAAGATTTTTCTCTTCGTCAGGAACCTATGAAATGAAAAGAAAAACACATCAACTATGTCAAGCAACACATCAAAAACAACTAGATTCAGACCCCTTCCAGCATATGCATGTGTGTGTGTGTGTGTGTGTGTGTGTGAGAGAGAGAGAGAGAGAGACCTCTTCGGCCCGTAACGTCCAGTATTGATCATTTATGTTCTCAATCTTTTCACTGTGAGGAAAAACCTGCAGATGTGTTACAGCAGGATCAAATAGCAATAACAAAAAATTCATTTTTGTATTTCTAAGCTTCCTAATTTCCCAAGGGTTACAATGGCAAAAGTGGATAAAAACGAAACCCCAAGCCTACGTAATCCCTTTCTTCCAACCAGCTGTATTAATTTAACATTAAATTGACAAAAGAACTAGAAAAAAGAAGTTATATCTCACAGAATCATGGTAACATCAAATTAACATATTCATTAACATCAGGTGGCCCACACAAAAAGTGCTTGCTTTTTGTGGGACTCATGCTTAAGTAAACCCACTATTGAATCTCATGTCCTCACCATACTTCTGCTAGATCAATATAAATGTGACAGAACAAAGCTATCTGTACTGCGAAATTCATGAAGATGTACATTTAACAACTGTGAACTGCTCAGATAGAAATCGGGCTAATTAACACTCAGCTCACTTAACAGGGGCATGGAGGACCTTTTTTCTAAACCTGTGTTAAAAAACCATACACAAATGAAACCCTTCAATTTTTATGTCTTTCATGTATCAATTTCAGAGATACGTTAGTCAGAACAGTTGTTTTCCTTGGAAGATGAAGCTCAGACCTTGTAAATCTTGTGATAGAAAACTTCAAGCAACCTAAGTTCTGCATCTGGATGAGACAATTCAACCTGTTCCAAATTGGGTTACACTAGTTACGACAACCATAAAATCAGAGTATTAAATAAAATAAAATAAACGATTAAAGCAAATAATCACGAGATCAACCATAAAAGTGGGGCAACAATTACATAAAGCCACTACTAATAAATAGGACGTTTCGACTGGCTGGATAGGATGATAGTGAAACTAACAGGTCAATAACATCACCTTAGTTTTAAGGTCATTAATTACATCTCCCACAGTGCTCTGTTTTGGCAGTCTTATGGTATGAATAACAACCTGGTTAAAGACACATATATTAGAACATGATTAAGATTAACAAAACATAACATTGTAAGATCTGATCAGTGCACTCACTTCTTCCTTAGTAGCATGATGGAATGCGACTTTCAGAGTTTTCAAACCTTGTAATTCGGGCAGAGGGATGTCCAATACTTCATAGTACAATATATCCGAAGTCTGTCATGGATTGTTGTAAGAGAAATGATCTCCAAAGTTTTAAAGAAAATATCACCTAGGGCTGTGAGATTATTACCTGATTGTAGTGGACCAGCATATCAGTCAAGCGTTCAACCCCCCGATACTTAATTGGCTGAGGTTTGGGTTGTTGTGAGTAACAGTTGTGCGATGTAAGCCTAATTTTGGATGGATCATCCAAACCAAGTTGCTGAGCAACTCGTTCCACAACATCATCATAGGTATGGAGTTTCGATCTTAAAATCAACATGGAAAACAAAAGGAGATAAAATCACTTTTAGATTATATAGCCCAGTTAATGATATAGATAAACACCAACAATGATAGAACTTACAATTCTAGGGAGAAATCATCTTCTTTGGGTTTCTCAAGAGATCGGAAGTGAACAACCTGTGACATATCACATCATAAAAACAGCCAAGTCAGGGTTCTTTTAATGAGAGTTTTTATATATTAAAATAACACAGTACTTTTATTATTATTAAAAAGCCACAATACTTTTTTTTAATTAAAAGCACAATACTCACAACCTGAATTTGCATAATTGTGCAACGAGAATATATCACCATTCACCACCAAAAGCATATATAATTAAGATTTAGAATACATTATCTTAAATGGCTAATACATTAATAATGCTTGAAAGGAATACATTTTTTTTCCAAAGCTAGGAAGGGGGAAGGGGAAAACTCACAGAAACAGGTACCATGGGGCTTTAAACCCAGGACCACTTGGGAGAACACCAAAGGCCTGGGCTTGAGAGGAATATTTGCTGTTAACTAGATGATTAGACACAATATTCATGACAGAACACGGTTTGAAGTGGTAATCTACAATTGAAAAAAAATTATAACTGGAATTTAGAAAACAAAAGAGGCAAGGTCTAATAGCATGGCAATTCAATCTTATTATACCCCACGTTCACTGGAGTTACAACTTATATTGGTGGGTACTTATGCAAACACGAGCTCAGTTGAAAAAGAAACACACCAATCATCTAGAAAACACGCTTGTGTTTCAAAAGCCTTGTTCTAGGAACAGGCCAGGCATGAGATTAAGCTTCAGATACAGGCTTATAGCTACATTGTTTGTTCTAATATAGCTACAAATAAACCACCAAAAAAGGAATTGAAGTTTCAAAACAAATGTACAAGTCTCAGGAAGGCTTACTTGACGGTTGTGCACATAGTCCAGAAAAGATGGGACATCTGGATAGCGGAGATGTTCTCCATTTTCAACTGGAGTGGGCTTCTGAAAGCAAACAATGTCTCCATCCTCGAGCTGCATACATAAACAAGAAGTTAAAATACTGACAAGAATAGTAAGTTCATGAACACTGATGACATTTAGAAAATACCTGGCAGGCTCGAAATGTGAATTTCTTGTCGATGGGTTCACACATGACATTGGGCTCAAACTTAATTTCCTAAGCATCAGAGCACCAGTAAGAAACCATGGCTTGAAACCATGGCTTACAACCAAAGCAAGAAAAATCAACAGCTAAATACATTATTTAGTAATAACAAAGACCAATAATCAGACTGCTTCGCATCAGACAAATTCAACTCATGGCAAGGGACAAGGTTGGATTTGGGTACTTGTTCAAGATCAAGACGAGCATAAAGTAACGAGTCCAGGATACAATACCAGGCCCAACCATGCTTTATAGATTAGACAAAGGAATCATATTAACTATGGGATGAGCAGAAACTTCTACACCCAGGCATTGCATGGTTACTAGTGTGAACAGATTAATGCATTCATCAAACCTCTAAATTGTTGGTTTCATCGTTATATGAACTTAATACAATCTAGTTCTAAACTTCTAATCAAGAAGTTTCCTACAGAATGACACCAGGAGCTGAGAAAAGGGGTTATTGCATACAAACCTCATAAAGGTCAATCTCTTCCTCAGGAGCATAGCCAGCCATTTCATTTAATTTTGACAATATTTCAGCTGCCTTACCAGTACTCTTCACAAAAAGCCTTCCAACATATCTGACAGTATTAAGAAAATAAGCAAAACAACAACCTTCAAATTCTTCCATAGCTTATTGAGTAAGAGTAACCCGATAAAAAACAAATAAAGTACCGTAGTTCTTCTTTTTCTGGATCATAAAGCTTAAAGAAAAGCAGAATGTCATCCTTTGTCTTGTCAGGTGGAGCGATAGGGTGTAAATCCTTAATAAAAAGCATAAAATTAGATAAACTGCTGCAAAGCACATTCCAGACAAGAACGATGTTCTTTAGTAGTACGACAATATTACCAGCCCAAGCTCTACTTCTAAGAATAACTTTAGTTCTGCATTATGAACCTTGTTTGATACCTCCCTCAACTGTCCAACCTGCAATGCAATGAAAAGAAGACTGAGCCATACACATCTCTGTATACAGAGGCACTTGCATAAAGAGCAAAAGTTCGGTCACCAATGCACTTTTCTGGAAAATAAATGACGATGCAGAAAGAAAAAAACCGCAGCTCTTGCATTCAAATGCCAAAAAACCTAGGACAATATTTTTTATAGGGAAAATTTTCTATTATGGAAAGAAGTACTAATGGCCATACATGCTCAACACACTAACCACAAGAACCACAAGTAATCAGCTCAGAACACATAACCAATCAAGACAGATTTAATGGAAAGGAATATCCCTATTGCTATGACAAAGAGGCCCAAAAAGATGCCAAGAGATATATTCATAAAGAAAACTGTAGTTAACAAGTGTTGAACTACAGAGCAACAATAAAGTGGGGAACTATTTCCATTTAAACAATGTGGAACTATTTCCATTGAAACAATGTGGAACTATTTCCATTGAAACAATGTGGAACTATTCTCATTGAAACAATGTGGCCTGAAGATAATATATCATCGGCCCTGCTCCGCAACCAATTAACCAAAAGTAACAAAGGGCTGTTCCTTGGCCAAGCAATCATACATGGTGTACAAAGATCTATTCTTATACAGCAGCCAATACAATCAGGCATAGCATGTAATACAATTTGAAAGAAGAGCTTCAGTAACTCACAAGTCATAAACATAAAATATAGCTTTCTTTTTCATTTTCAAATGCTCACTCTGTAAAAGCATTAGCTTGTACGTGCAAGCATCATCTAGAACATGATAGGCATCAAATAAATATAAAGACCAGTTTCATCTGTCCCACAAAGCCATTATAAAAAAGGAAAGAAAAACTTGAAACAGAGAAGCAGCACAAGATAAGTACAGATTGTGTTTCCTCCACAGGCGTCAATGGACGGTTAGGACGATATGTATGGTTTTGACGCTTCGCCCACAACCAAAATCGCAGAAATTGCACTGGTATACCAATCTCTTTCGCAACCTCCTCCTGGATGAATCATTATGGAAAATAATAAGAAGTGCAGCAAGAAAACAAAATCCATGTTAAATGAAGAAGTGCATCACAACCGAAAAGAAAACAGTAGAACCATGTGTGGGGAAAGTATTATATATACGCTAGCATTTGGAGCTGTGCAAATAGTAGGTGTATAGTTATCAATTGTTGCTTATACAAAGCTTCACTGAGCTATAATTTATTGTTGGAGCTGTGCAAATATATACTAAATCAAATAAATTTCCAAATGAATTATCACCATATGCCAGATAACTTGAAGTAAACATATAATACCATGCAAAAGGCATAATCCCCTTAAAATGTTTCATTGTATTTTGATACATCTGCTAACAGAACTTTTCACAGAGCTACTAGTCCGTTTCTAAATTTAAAGATATTAATTCGTACCACCAAGCTTTCTTAACCCACTTTCCATGTAACGAAAAAAAAACTACCTACAAAAAGGTGGAGGGGGCTTAGCTTGTATTTTCAAAATTGGTTAGTTGTAATTATATAATCTTCTATTCAGATTATAAAATTACAACATTGGCTTGACACAGATGCCAAAGTCTCCAACAACTATGACTACAGAGAAAAAATGAGTGAAAAACATGAACAATCCTAGTCACAGGACTTTAAACACAACTGAATACCTTAATCTCTGAGCATAATAAAACATGCCAAAAAATTAAGAACATGTATACATACCATTCCTTGCATATTAACATATTAAGAACTGTAGCCTTTCTATTTTTAACATATTAACGAATACCTTGCCTAACAAAAGAGGACAGAAACAACAATTAAAGCTGGAACGCATTGAGCAGAGTGGATTCCAACAGGAAAAAGGATCATTGACAGAAAAGAACCTCATTCAAAAACAGGTGCAAGAAGCAAGTTCAAAATTGTACCTTAAATACGTTAAAAGGCGTCTGCTTCTGAATACGAAAACTTCTAACTTTGTCATGATCAACAAGATCAAAATAAATATCCTTCCCAATCTGCTCGACAAGGTTCTCGTCCCGGGCAACCTAGAGGAATGATATAAGTCACAAGCAAAGGATGTTGCACTATAAATTTACACAAGTTAAGCTTGAAAGCCACTTGTTAATAAGAAATGGATTTAACAGCTAAACCTTTATAATAGTATATAGGTGTGCCTCTGCCTTTTCTTTCTTCTTGTGTTCCTTTTCTTCTTGTTCTTTCTTTAACCTCTCCTGAGATAAGTCAATGAATGTATATAGGCCTTATCTCCCGTAAGACAGAAATTCTGAAGAGAATATGCACAAAGAAATATACACATGCAAAAAAATATGTGTATAAATATCTCCAAAATGAACCAAGTTTTTCATGAAAGCAGCTAATGTGCCAAATTGTGTGACACAAACAATCAAAACATCACATTTTATTCCTTTTCTTCTTATTCTTTCTTTAACCTCTCCTGAGACAAGTCAATGAATGTATACAGGCCTTATCTCCCATAAGACAGAAATTCTGAAAGAGAATATGCACAAAGAAATGTACACATGCAAAAATATGTGTGTATAAATAACTCAGAAATGAACCAAGTTTTTCATGAAAGCAGCTAATGTGCCAAATTGTGTGACACAAACAATCAAAACATCTCATTGTATTTCTAATTCCAAGTTCAATCAGAACTTTACTTGGATATGGGAATTTGATCTCAAACAGAAAGATCCTTAATATCAGCCTTGTTAAGAGGTTCATTTAAGTTACCTCGTGAAATGAAGAATCCATGTATCCAATTTCTTACATGAATAATCAAATATCCTACAAATTGGCCTTAAGAACAGGATCTCACCCTTAGATGTTCAGCGATGTCCTGCTCATCCACATTGCAGATTATTTTATCTTTGTCACTTTCACGTATGTACACCAGCATGTACGCATTTGAGTACTTCGTAAATTTGAAAGGAGTGTTATTGAATCCAGGGTTTGTCTGTGGTAACTGTCAAACCATAAGCAAACTATGAAAAATGAATCTTAAAAGTAAAAACCTGGATTCAGTATTGCATGCAGAAATTGGAAAAGCATACCTCTTCCTCACCACCATACTGCTCCTCTAGTGCCCTCTTTATATCTTCTTTTGTGACCCTCTCATCATCGAATTTATACCTGTGTACCACAAATCTTAATGACACATGAAGTAGAAAGGGGGCTTGATGGAATCCGATATGCATTTCTTAAAATTCAACCAAATATTTAGAATATGTTAAGCATACAACTTGGCCAATGCAATTGGCTAGCTCAGTAATTAGGTACCTCTTATGACCCAAGGCTTTAGAAATATCTGTATGGCATAGCCATGTACTATGTTACGTGTTAGAGCAAATGGTCATGTTCGTGGTACACCAAAAGGGAATGTAGCTGTAGTTGCTACTTATCGAGTAACATGAAATGATGGCCATGTGCTTATTTATATATAGATTGCTGGATACAACTACATCCATATTTTTGGCCAGAAACTTCATAATCCAAAATGATCAAAATTGTGGACATCACTTTCTGACATGCGCCTTTCCAATTCCAGCAGAAAATGAGGGAAAAAGAGAGTTTCAGGAATGAACAAATTATTGTTTCAAAATATTTATGCAACATATATTGAATTAATAATTGCAAGTCAATAGAGTAACAGTCAATCACAGCTACCATACACTACGAAAGAAACATAAGTCATACGTGTCTGAAACAGTGACACTAGGCATTATAATGTGATATCCTTACAACTAAACCACGGCTCCTAAGTGATAAAACAAAGAAGAACTCATCTTCTTTCTTTTTGATTACCTTCCTCATGTATGTATAAGAACAAAACCATTCAATTTCTAATATATATATATATATATTTTTAACATTCAAACTTCCTCTCTTTCAAGTTTCAACTGCCAATCATGCAGAATTCCTTCATACATCTACAAGAGACCTATCAAGGTACTAAGGTATTTTTGCCATATATATAGATGATTAAAATTTTATTATAAACATAATATCAATCTATTGAGATCCTACAAAAGCTCACTAAATTATTAGAAATACATTCACAAAGGCAGCAAAAAGAGAAAGTACCTACAACCATAATTTATTGCAATAAAATTCTCTTTCTCAGAAGACAAATGAAGACTAGTGTCATATCATTGTGATGCTCAAGAAGATTATGAAATTTAAAACGTATGAGTATATACTTATGCATGTTTGCTCCCAGAGTTTTCTGCTTCAAGCATAAACAATAGGAAAACCAAACTAGGGTTGATAAAGTAACATCATGAGAATCAGTTATGGGTTTTCTGCACATGCAAAACATGGGAGCACATATGAGGGAATGGATGCCAAGAATCTGAGAACTGATGCATACCACTGATCAGAAAGCGTTGGCCTGATAAAGGCATAATAGTGCCCACCATGCACCCCACCACTGTGTACCAAAACACTGTAAACAACCACCAAATGCATAAGTACGATATAAGACTTAGAAGAGCAAAGCAGGAATCTATGAATCAAGTTAATGACAGAATTTTATGGGAAATAATTTTTTCCCTTGGTCATTTAATACTAGGAAAAAGCATAGTAGTCCTATGTATATGAGAGACATAAATTGCCACAAGTGTGCATCCATTACAAAATAGTACTCATTTGTACAAAACAAATATATATATATATATATATATATCACTAACAGAAAATTATCCAAAATACATAATAGGTGAAAGAGCAGTATTAGATAGAAAGATTATTAAATACAAAAATAAAGAAAGAAAGGATGTAGACCACATATATAAACTAAAACATATACATCCAAACAAATAAAGGAACACAAACTCTGACCAAAAAAAGGGAACACAAACAATGTGCAACAAAAATGAAATTAAGCACCCCTATCATCAGATAATAAGTGTCAACCAAAAAATCCTCACAGCAACAATTGTACCAACCTATCAAGAATGCTTGTAGGACAAAAAAATTTATGTCCGGAAAAAGGAGATGTAGCTAAAATAGCAAAGGGGTTTCTAACAAGGCATGTAGTACTGAAGTTAGAATTCTTTCAAAAACAAAAGCAACTTGGAATCCTTCCCCAGAGCACAAATCACTAGACCTCAGAACTATGATTACTATGTGAAAGGGAATCACCACAAAGCTTTCCTAGGTTCTTTTCCTAAACAAAATGGATATATGACAAATAGGAAAAACTCTGAAATATACCTGTGAAGTGTGTAAAGGTTACGAACACTCCTATCAGCTTCAGGTGATAAATATTTTCCATTCTCTCGATCGAGGTCAAGTTGCAATGGGAACTCATAACGATCATTAATCTACACAATAAGAGCATAAATAAAAACTCTAAGATTTATGTCCAAAAAAGAAACACACTCTATCAGTCTTATTTGCTCAAAAGAAAATCAAATCACTCCAATCTCCATCCACAAATCATGAATGGTTCATATAGCAATTTATAAAGGCACTAAAATGTGTATCAACTCTATTAACAATAAAAGTTCTGTGAAGAACTAGGAAATCGACCACTAATGGGAAACTGGAGGGATACTCAACTTTTTGTTTAAAACAAAAAACAATCATTTAGACACAGATGAATTACATCATGCTAAATTATTTGTAAATTTATTACTTACAACCATTGAAGAAGAAACCAAACCAAAGAGTAAAAGTAATGGAATTTCATGAGTTACAACTCGCACTATGTTATGGGCCCATGGCACCATTGCCTAAAAGCCTTCATGGGGCTTAATCAATGGCCAGGAACTTGCCTCAAGAAGCAACCACTCTGAATTCATAACAATAAAAATTCCTTGGGAGCATCCACGAGATTTTCCCTGTTAATTACCTAGTGCAGGTAGGACTTGGAGAGAAACTATGTATGATTAGAATTTGGGGGCCTTATGAGATGGGTATCTCAAGAAGCAACCAAAAAACAAAAACAAAAAATGACAGTCACCATTGTCTGAATCTGGCATCAATCTAACTGGCTGGCTATTTGATACTTAATATTTAAACTGATAATAGGAATAAATCCCAAATGAACGTTAGCACAAAATAAAGTTTGGGATTGAACGTTAGCACAAAATAAAGTTTGGGATTCAGAAGTAAAAGTATTTCATCTGATTTATACTTTGCAGATGAGACTTGTAATACCTTGTCAAATAATTTAAAAAGTTATTAGACATAGATGCAGTCAAAACTTCTTTTCTGTTTAAAACTGAGATTTGGGTATAGTGCAAATTAAAATGAAACATTCATTGAGGAACTATCTTCTTTGCTGGTTATTTTGGAAAGAGTTTTTTATCAGGTACTAGAGAACATTATCTTTCCCAGTCAAGTCTTATTCTAGATTCAGTGTGATAATGGTACAGTTTCAAATTTTAAGCCAACGAGGGAGATCTGAAAAGCTAAGACCATCTTAAGGTAAAGATTCTACCCTGGATTGTGGCTCATGAATACACTCAACAAGTTGAAAGCATGTCCCTATTTTTGGGGTGAAGGGCGAGGCATTAACATGTGTCATATGGTTCACAGGAGAAGACCAACTTGGTTCTTTTTACCTCACTGGTGCATTATGTGTAGGAGGAAGGGAGATCGTGCTGATCATATTTTTGTGCAAAGTTTAGTAATTTTAAGTCTCAGAAGAATTTGTTTTGCAAGACGGGCGAGCTGAATGTTTCCAGGTTGCTGTGTGCTGTTAAGTGAACAACACAGGCCTTTGGTGGCGGGAAGAAAGCCAAGGTGTCGGTGCCTCTGTTGTGGAATATATTTGGGTTGTGTTTCTTTATGTCCCCTTGTCCACAGTGTTGTGCTTTAGAAATATTTTTTTTTCCTTCCCAAAAAAAAATTAAAAGCCTGGAAACTTTCATAACCCATTCTAACTTATAATCCTAAAGTAAATAAACATACGCAATAAAATGCACTCATTCATGATAATAATGCACAAATAACAGACATAACGACCTGAAGTAAAATAGTTATTCTAACCTTCACCATTGTGTCCCGCATAAAGTCGTACTCAAATCGTTTCAACTGAAGTTGAAGCACCGGGGGAAAGTCAATTAAACAGAACCTACCTTTCTCCTAGAAAAAAATTGAAAAATTAGAGAAAAACCAAAATGGTCATCAATATAAGGGGGGGAATAGAACATGACAAAACAAAACCAAAAAAAAAAAAAAAAAAAAAAAAAAAAAAAAAAAAAAAAACAGTGAAGGAAATTATCACACTTGTGGCCATCCACCAGACAAAAAACAAACGCAAAATCTTTTACCCACAAGAACTCAGATCTCTTATTTATTATCTACTGTTTCCAGTCATACTCTGGCAACCCATCCATCTCCTTTCGTCAATCAATGATCACTAGCAGTGCATATTTAATTAAGATATATAATGTGATTTAAAGTATAAATGCTCCATAACTTTAAAAAAATACAAAATACAAAACCCATCAGCTATAACATAGAGTGAAGATCTTCCAGTGAAAACCGATCAGCTAAAAAGAAAAGGAAGAAGAGTCAAACAAAAACCCAGCAATGTTGCAATATGTAAGGGAAACCAACTGCTTAGCAAAGTAGTTTACTTTGAACACCCATAATATCGAGTACAACTAGGCTACTTCAAAATCCATTTCTGTCTCTTTGTTCTAAATTATGAAAATGTCTTAATACTCTTGCAGCTGATACGAAAATTTCAGTATTGTTTCCTTTTTTTTCTTTCTCAAAACAACTCATTGTAGTTTCCAGAATTCTAAACGTTTATGAACTTGGATTGTGTCTATATAGACTACAGCCATTCCAGCATTGAGAAAAATAAATTAACACCTGCCAACCTATCTCTTCCTCTCCCTCAGTCTGAACATCTAATCTTACCACGACTCAATCTTCTTCACCAATGTGATAGACCTGTGAAATGCCAATTTGCCTTTGCGTTACTTTTTACTTTTTTTTTTTTTTTTTTTTTTTTTTTTTAACTTTCTTCTCTTGTTTAGTTTGAAAATGCCTTATCAAAAGCAATGGTTTGATAAGTTGAAAAGGAACGAGTAAGTCACCACCTGTTTGTAATTATCCTTTCTTTGTCTACCTTAAGTTTTTTTTTTCTGTATACATTTTAAGCCAAGAATCCCTCAAATATTATTTTTATCTTTTGAAAGGCCCTCTAACATTACATAAAAAGGGGACAAATAATACAATGACGTATTCTATAAGAAAATAGTACAAGTGACATTGCAAATTCAGATTTTCTGTTTTGGGATTTCACCCACAAACAACCAAAATATCAACCTGCAGTATTGATAAACTCAAGGAGCAAAACTCAACGTAGCTGTTCAGAAGCTTAGTCAACAGCAATAAGGTATTAAGCTCAAAGGAACAAATTATCTAAAACTTTCTCAAATCAATTAACAGATAACTCATCTCACTCAATTTCACGCAAAATTATGCCGATTATCTGCACCCCGCAAATTGAATAGAGCACTAACCTGCAATCCATACTGTTCAGCATGATACTTGTTATCACCCTCGAGACGTTCAACTTCTACGTACTTATCAAAAGAAGCATATACATCACGACAACCTTTGACATCAAGCTGAAGGTCTGCCAGACACAGTTGATAATATTAGCATTATCCAAAAGGACCATAAGCATGGAGAATTCGAAACCGAAACAAAAAAGTACCATAAAATGATTCCTTTCTTGTTGACTTGTAGTCCACGTTGATGCATTCAATGTAGTTCATATGGTGTCCTTCGAACAACTTCTGTATAGTTCCCTCTACAACAGTTCCCTGGTAACAGGTCAAAATTGTAAAACTTTGCAATAAGATTCAAGAGCTTCAACATTGATGAGATTTTCAAAATTAATCAATATGAATTTGGTTAAAAGATACCTTCATTTTGTCTTCAAGTTTTTCACACAAAACCCTATTGAGTTCTTGCACGTCATGCTGCATAAATGAATCATACGTGTCCCATCCAAAAGACTTCGTCAGCTCTTTTGTTGCCACACTATTGTCACTGTACTGAAGCTTGTAAAATAGACTCTGCAGGGCCAAAGGTATGCTTTGCGATGGCAAATCATTCTCAGTTGTGGGCATATGGTAAACAGCCTGAAATATACAACCCAAGACATTGTTTTCCTCAGAGATCTTTAACCAGATAAGTTAGCATGCTGTAGAACAAAAATTTCATGCAGCTGCTAACCTTTCTGAAATAAGGAATATGATACAAAGTCTGGAGGAGAGAGTTCATGTAGCAAGTTGCTCCTTGGTTCTTAAGCCCCACATAACCTGTCTCCTTTTTCGAGTCATATGTCCAGTAATCTACAACCCTACGAACGAGAACCTCAGCTTCAATTATAAGTGTATCATGCACAAGATACCCTCTACTGGGATCGTAAAGATCACTAAGAGGCATGAAGGATGTGAAACCCCAATCACTTTCTCGCGCATTGAACTGATGCTGTGTGTCTGTATCATGCAAATAGGATTCAGTAAATATCTATAGGCACACTATCAATCAATTTGAAGGTTTTTATCAGTAACAATACACAAAAGGAAACATCAACCTACAGAAGCGCTAAAATTGCGGTTCTCAGACCAACTCTGATTAATTCAAGCTTAAACCAATAATGACAATTGCAATTCTAAATCACATGAGGCTAAATCCCGCTTAATTAGCACAAGCAAACTAAAAGGTCAAATATAGATAGACATGCCGAACTTCCCAATAGTGCAATGCACTCTTCCCAATGAATTCCTCCATTGGGCCAAATTTTTCATTGGGCTCCAAAAGTTACAATCTATCAATGATGCCCTCCTAGCAGATCTACATTTTTTTAATCAACTTAAGGAAATATTCTTTGCTACTTTCTTTAATTCCACATTAGATATATGCACACCTGATCTCATAGATAGAGAATCACACCAACACCATAGCTTAAGAACTGAAATTATTATTCTGCTACAAAAGAATCGAAGTTTAATACACAGTGGAAGATTAGTAGAAAACATATCCAAGGAGGTACCTTTTCGTACTGAATACTTGTTATGAATTTGATTGACGACCCCCAAGCAAAACTGTGCATATCTACTCCACCCATATGGCAAACTTGCTGAATCCGCAACATCCAAATACATAGACAAATGATCTACATTGTTTCCCTTAGGAAAAATAAGCACACGCCTGCCAAATCAAAGCAAGCGGAACATATCAAAGCAACGCCAAAACAAAGAGGAACATATAGAGCAAAGTGACTGTGTTAAGTGAGAGAGAGAGAGAGAGAGAGAATGACAATACCATTTATAGCCACCAACGACAAATATATCTGAATAAAGCTTCTTTGTATTCATCCTAGAAAAATTGTCAATTCTCCACGTGAATCTTGATGATGGAGGATCCTCCACTGGCTGGTTCTCCACATTATTAGCAGTTTCAGGTTGTGCAACAACTAATAATTTGCAAAGGAAACCAAAATAAATAAATACGTTACAACTGTTTCATGCTGCAAGTAGTTGAAAACTTAAAATAAAATAAAAGTACTGCAATTACAATACACATCATCAATTTTCCTACAGGAACTTTCTTTCAATTTTGCATGCAAAAGCATGGAAAATAGCCTTAGTGCAACACAACCACTTGACCCCAGTCATGGAAAATGAGAATTACTTATAACAATTTTTTATAGCTCCCCATTAGTTGGGGTCCAATACACATTACAACCAATTTCAGTTAATTAATTACCCAAAGTAAGTTTTAAAAAGAATGATAAAAAGCTATAGGGAATGGACATACTGGACGGATCAGAATACCTTCCATGGGTTGGTGATTGTTTTCGGGCAAATCCGAGTGTGGGACGAGCATCTCCTCGTCCTCTGGTTGCTGTAACAACACACACAAGAGTGAATGAATTCTGTTTTGTTTTGTTTGGGGAGGGGACCGAAAAGCAAACCCTTATCATTGTTTTCAATAAAACCCTAAATTCCAAACAACAATGGAGAGAAATGATAGCCACATTAAAGCAATTTGGAAACCAAAGCCCTAGGCAACACCAAATTCAATTTCAGTTCCAAAAAAAACCCAATTTAAGCATTGAAATCAAACAAATTAAGATAATGAACTAACCACAAATTCGAAATAAAAACCAAAGCTTTATCATCCACAGACATATGCATACACTAAACATATAGATGCATGTTATATACTGAGAGAGAGAGAGAGAGAGAGGAGAGAGAGAGAGAAACATACATCAATAGGGGCGGGGGTCATGACAGTCATGGCTGAACGAGTCTAAGGAATGGGATATGAGAATACCTCACAGCGAGGTACTAGAGAGAGAGAGAGAGAGAGTAAAGGAGGTGCAGTAAGAGAAGTGCAAATGGCGATCACCAGAAGCTGGTCGAGGAGAGAGAGAGAGAAAGAGAGAGAGAGAGAAGGGTATGGTTTTTTCACTCTTCTTTTATATGCAGGATGGGCAGTAGAGTACTTTCGCAATGGGGGTACGTGGTAGACCGGTAGACCTGTGCTTATGACAAAGTGACCCAGGGGGACATGGCTTTACTTCTTCCACTCGTTGTACGGCTATGGACCACCGTACTGTAATTTACAAAATACATAGATCTGGGCCAATCCAGCCCAAACGCTCTAGGCCAAATTTCAACCTCGACTAAATCCGTAAAAGGAAATTTCTGCAGCTTCACTGCTTCAAATGTTTTCTTCCCTATTTAATTTATAGTAAGTTTTAATTACTACGTAGGGTAAATTTTATAATTCTAATTTTGAATTTTTTTTTTTTGTCGGAACTAATTTTGCATTGTTTGGAATTGCTTTTGTAAAACCGCTTATTAGAAGCACATTCCAAGTGGTTCTTGGAAAATAAGTTTTTCTACCAAGCATTGTTGAAAGAGTTTTTTGTTGTCATAAAGTGTTTTTAGTCCTTACTACAAGAGCTAAAAACACTTTTTGAAAACCAAAAGTGGTTCTAACAATATTTGTCAAAAAATTTAAAAGTGTGTTTATATAAAAGCCTTTTGTGGAGAAGCATCTGCAAGAGCACTTCTAAATGCTATTTTAGGAAGCACTTGGATTTTTAATAAAAAATTTTACATTCGTCTAATTAATTGAACAATAGCGTTTCATACAAAAGCAGTCTCAAATGTGCCCAAAAGTAGTCCCAAACGGGTCCATACTCAAACATTATTTAAGTTTTTAACGTTCTTCTAGTTGGAGCATCTCCAATGCTAGAGATGCAAAGTGGACATGTGAAGCCACATTTACATCCTCTTTGCATCTAAGGTGAATGTAAATTTGGCCTGAAGATATAAATCCGAAAATCTCAATTTTGATGTTCTTATACTAATTCACTTCGTGTTAATTTTTGTTTGGTGTTAACTTTAGTTTTATTCTTTTTTCAACAAACTTTAGGGCCCATTCAGTAATGTTTTCGGAGAATTTTTACTGAGAATATTTTATGAGAATGAAAATGAGAAAATGAATTTGCATTTTAATGATTTCAAAAATGCATCTGGTAGATTAATTGGAAACATATTCAGAAAATAAAAATAGTGAAAACGTGTCTAGTAGGACAATTTGAGAATAATAATTTGTGAGTTATTTTTCAAGTATATTTGTTATTAATTTATGTCTTAAAAAAATTTGTTTTAATTTTGATATTTTAAAAGCTAAAAGTATTACAAACAATGAAAAATGTATACTTTGAGAATAATAATGTATAGTTAAAATAAAATAAAAATTTATAATTTTAAAAAACCCTAGATAATAAAATAATATTATCTTTAGTTTAAATAAATATGAAATTGAATAATATATGATGGTTTTATCATAAAATTAATATATACTAGTGTAGGAAAATATAAAAATAATGAAGTGGAACAAAAAAACTGAAAATTGAAAAAATAAAAATGAAAAAATAAAAAAAATAAAAAAATGAAAAATTAGACCAACCAAAAAAAATAAAAAAATAAAAAAAGCAATCAGACCAATACATTAGGTAGAGAATGAAAATGATAATTTGGTGTTTTTAGTTTTTGTACATGAGTTTGAATTTGTTTTCATAAAATAATTCAAGTGAAAATGAAAACGATATACCGAACACATTTTTAGTAGAAAATGAAATCAGGGCCTTGAAAACGTTACCAAACGCCCCTTATTGCTTACATGATTTTCATTACAAAATTCTAAATTTCTATGTCTATTCTCATAATTAAAACAAATTAGAATTCTCAATTCTCTATGACGTCTAGGTGATAAAATATTTTCACGAACAAACAAATCATAATGATTTTTATCTCTATTTTCAGTCATCTTTTGATATTTTGTAATGGCTTCATCAAAATTCTTATCAACATGTTTTTTTAAAAAAATTTCTATACATTTAATTCAGCAAGCCTTTTGAATGAGAATTGAAATTAGAATATTTTTGGATATTTAGGCATTTTTTGGATTATTCAACATTTGGTGAATATGGCTCATTATTTAAAAAATAAATTGTTGGTATTTGGATCTCATTTGACCTCCTCCAATGGATTAATATAGGAGTTATAATCAGTTAAAAATTCATTTTGATATCTACAGTTTATTTTGGAATTGAAGGAATTATAGTCATTGATTTCATGACCCTCATTTTCAAAACTACTTTCTCAACCTAAGAGTTCCAACCATCACCGATAACATGAGTAATTTCTCTAATAATTCCCCATTTCATCATTTAGCTTTCAAATGTGTGTAAACCATATTATATTCACCAACCACCAATAATCATATTCCGTAATTAAATTCATATCCAAGATTTCATAATCATCCAAGAGAAACAATGTTACATACGCAAATAATCTCAAGTATATTAATCAAATAATATCATCATTTAAACACGAGGAGAGCCTTGACGGCTAATGTAACAACCCAATTCTTAATTAATTTTTAATTTTTAATTATTAATTTATTTTGAGAAAAGACAATTTTGCCCCTATAATAAATTATTAGAGAAAATGTTGACTTTTTGACCGGGAAAAAGTTTGAAAATTCCGTTTGTACCATTGCATAGAGCGCGACAAAACGAGTCCGTAGACACGTAGTGGGCTCGAATCGGAGTTATAACGAAGAAATTACAATAAAATATGTTGATGGGCAAAATGGTAATTTGCCAAGTCAGATTTTTTTAAAAAAACGTCTCTCTCTCTCTCTCCCTCTCTGCTCTTCCCCCCCCCCCCCCCCCCCCCCCCCCCCCCCCCCGACCGCCACCAATCCTCTTAGACACCACCCCGACCCACCCAAAACTGGACCTAAACTCATCGGGGTCGCTCCGTCGTCAACCTCAGCCCACTCCGACCCTAGCCACCGTCAAAATCTCGCCAAGAAAGCCAAGAAATCCGGTCGATTTTGCTGGAATTTCGCTGGCGTCGGACGCCATCATTCGGCCACCAAATTAGACGAACCAAGTATGGAATTTCATCCATTTTGTGAGCTCTAGCTGATGGTTGAGTAGGATTTTAGAAATTTCTAGCATTGATAGCTCGATTTTGAGTTCAAAGTTTTGCCAGTTTTGGGATCGCAATTCCGGCCACTTTTTGGGGTAGGTCCAAGAACAAAAGTGGAATTTGGGTCAGGTTCTGTCAATTTGGTATCAGAGCATAAGGTTAAATTCCTGTAGACCCGACACCTTGTGTGAATCCTTATTCCAGTAAATTGTTGACGATACTCCATGCTACCTTGCCTTGTCAGCATGACCGAGAAAAAGGTATTAAGAAGTGTTGAAAAACTTGTTGAGGTTTTCTTATGAAAAACGTAATATACATGTTGAAAATATTTGGTTTGAGAGGAACTATTACTGGGGACATAAAAAATTTATGTTAAGGGTCGGAGAAAGTAAACTGGAGTTGTGAGCATCTTGGATTCGAGAGCTTAGGCAGTTTTGGAGATTGCATCCAGATTAGGGTGTTGTTCATGTTGCTAACTATAAAAGATTGGGGAAGTAACCATGGCGAGATGGATGATGATTACAATTCGGTAAAGATAATCCTTTCTGGTATTCCTCTTGAATAATTAAACTAGTAATATTGTCTATAAATTCTAAAGAAAGAAGGAAAATGTTAACAAGTCAAAGAATTTTGACTTCTCTTAGTGGGGGAGCTAGAGAAAATCCAATCACAAAAGGAAGCGTTTAGTTTTCGGAGGAAGATTAAGCATTATATTAGCTATCAAAGGATACTCTTAGTTGGAATAAGGAGACTTCTCTTTTTCTGTTTGCTTAGTCAGAGCTTTTGATTTGGCTGTCAACATGATTGTGATTTTTCTTGACTCCAGAGGGTCTTTGATGTTGAAGTATTTAAAAGCCTTGAGAAGTCAAAACATGGGCATTTAAGTTTTCATTTTGGTGATATTCATGTTTTAAAGGCCAGTTTTGGAATGTTTTAAAGTTGAGTGACCCTCGAATCGAAGCTTTACCAAGTGGAGGTCTGGGAAACATGGGCAATTAAATTCCTGTCATATTAAATTGCGGGCCCAGTATCCGTACCCCTTCAAGTGACATGTATGAAATTTCGAGAACGAAATTTTTATAAGGAGGGTAGATTGTAACAACCCAATCCTTAATTAATTTTTAATTATTAATTTATCCTGAGAAAAGATAATTTTGCCCCTATAATAAATTATTAGAGAAAATGTTGACCTTTTGACCGGGAAAAAGTTTGAAAATTCCGCTTCTACCGTTGCGTAGAGCGCAACGAAATGAGTCCGTAGACATGTAGTGGGCTCGAATTGGAGTTATAACGAAGAAATTACAATAAAATATGTTGAGGGGCAAAATGATAATTTGCCAAGTCAGATTTTTTTTTAAAAAAAACGTCTTCTCTCTCTCTCTCTCTCTCTCTCTCTCTCTCTCTCTCTCTCTCCCCTTGCGATACCCCCTCCTCCGTCTGTTTCTCCCGACCGCCACCAATCCTCCTAGCCATCACCAGACACCACCTCGACCCACTGAAATGGACCCAAACTCACTAGCATCGCTCCACCGTCAACCTTAACCCACTCCAACCCTAGCCACTATCAAAATCTCGCTGGGAAAGCCGAGAAATCCGGCTGATTTTGTTGGAATTTCGCCAACGTCATACGTCGCCATCCGGCCACCAAATATGACGAACTAAGTATGGAATTTCATCCATTTTGCGAGCTCTAGTTGATGGTTGGGTGGGATTTTAGAAATTTCTTGTGTTGATAGCTCGATTTTGGGTTCAAAGTTTTGCCGGTTTTAGGATCGCAATTCC